CAACAGGAGCATAGGAAGCTGCCGTTCAGCAAGTCGGGGGCGCCTTCGATCTGGACAGTCTGGCTGTCATTGATTGGATGACAGCTCTCCAGCCCTACCTGGAGCTGCCAGGAATCGAACCTGTGACCTTCTGCACACGAAGCATGCGCTCCACCACTGAGTTATGGCCCCTCCTGCATAGCAAAACCGAACACAGAGGCCCACTTACATACACACAGTGCCTGTAATGCACTATGTATGTGAAGTTTAATTGTTACCATAATTATTGTAGTTTAAGTATTTTGGTATTTTAATTACTCCCTTTTACTGGTGTCCTGTCTTAATGTATTTTTGGTACCAATTTATGTTAATATTCCTGTACTGTATTTTACTGGTCTACAACCGAAATAAAGTCATTCATTAATGTACTATGTGAAACAGCTGTGGTCAGAAGGGAGACCTGGCTCTACCAGTAGCTTGAGCAACTGCAGTCAGTCAGCACAGATTTCTGTCACCTGGTTGTTTTAACAGTAGCAATGAGCAGATGACTCCATCTTGTTCTGAACTGTACTGCTGAATTGAAGAAAACCTGGGTTTGCATGTGGGAAGATGACAAGCTTCATTTGGTTGTGGCACATGAAAACAACTACGTGGGATACAAATTCTATGCCATTTGCACCAGACTTCAGATGGTGGGTGTTGCGGTTCCAGTAAAACAAAATATAGCAGTTTCTGCAAGGCAGGTATCTGCCCACCCCTACAGACAAGACTCTTGTCCTGTGTGTTTGCAACATGGGCTGGCTGCACCCCATGGGCTGACCTCCCTGCCTGTCCCCCTAGAATGCCCCTCCTGCCTGCCAGGAAATACTACACAGAGGGGCAGAGAATTCCACCAAACATGGCACCCGATGGTCCAGGTAGCACCCAAAAACTGACATAGGAGCACCTTCTGCAAACAGAGTCTTCCATCTGTGGAAAGTACGACCTTGATACACCCATAGGTCTTTACATACAGAAATCCCAAGCAGCAATTGATACTGTAAGCCACCAGCCATGGATTGTTGGTAGTGCCTTTATCAAGTTAACACAAGGGGTAAAATCTAGTTCCTCAAGAACAGCCCTTCAGCAGCTTCTAGTCTGAATGATTAGTTAGCACTAATACACTCCAAACAGTTACAGAGTTGGTTCAGTCTTCGAAACTTGCAGCACCACTAATTACTTGCTAAGAATTTATAGATACACTCAACAGTTTGATAGCCCACAACATAACATCAAAGAAAAGTGTGTTAGAATGAAAATTTCACTTACTTGTTCAGGACTGTGCTTCTGCAACTGTTAAAAGCAAACTGTCTGTTTTCACTCCCAGCGAAAACAGAAAGGAAATATGGGTTGAGCCTTCAGCCAGACCCTTAAAGAACCACACATTTCTTAAAGGAACAATGTAAGTATCAATAGCCATCAATAATTCAAAGTAGAAACAGACATCATGACTCAGAGCTTATGCTGATAAATCAAATTTCTCATTCAATCCACTAAGGTTAACCGTTGGTGGTGCAGAAATCTAAGATGTCTCTCTCTGGGGAAAGGGAAATGTGTCCTTCCAGAGCTGATGTAAGTTGAAAGCATGGAGCTTAGCACCGTGCTGGGTTCTCCCCACTCAGCCGTGACGCTCACTGGGTGACTTGGGGCCAATCACAGGCTGCTTAACCTGCCCCACAGGGTAGTTGTGAGGGTAAAATGGAGGAGAGATAGGTCTGCCAGGAGCTTCTTGCAGGGAAAAGCAGGATCTAAACCAACAAAGATAGATATGGACTTGATCCATTGCTGTGCCTTTAAATCAGGGAGGGGGCCCTGCAGAAGGAATTGCAGCTCCCTTTATCCCTCCCCACTGGCTTTAAATCCACCCCTGAAGGGCCACCCATTCCTCACCGCTGCCTTCCATCTCCGAACATATTGTATCCCCCATCACATGAGGAGACAGTGGGTCTCCACGCATTTCCCTTCTGATCATAATTCCACCAGTCTATGATGTTAAATGTTCTTTGTCCTGTGTATACATATGAACAAGGGCATATGATGGGCAGAAATGACATTTGTTACTGATAGTTTGTTAAATTCCTCAGCACAAAAAACTTACCATCTTTCAGATTAGTGAATTGTAAAATTTAGGATCATTTGTTTATTTATTTGGGATATTTTTAGGCCGTCCAATCACACTGAGTCTCTGGACAGCTCACAACAAAGAAACAGAGCGAGCCAGAAGGGGTCTCCTGGGCCATCTAGTCTGACCCCCAGCTCCAGCTGACTCCACTCATGACATGCCTACCATGTGCACGTCCAGCCTATCCTTGAACACCCTCACCGGTGGGGCCTCAACGACCTCTCGTGGAAGCCCATTCCATACCCTCTGGGTCCTAACTGTCAGGAAGTACTTCCTGGCATCCAAATTGAACCTTGGCTCCCTGGACTTTGCATTTTGAGTATGAAAAGTGCTCTTTTTTGTGCACTATCAAATTAGGAGTGTAACTACTTTATGGCATCCCTTGGCCACTAGAAGCATCTAGAGAGTCACAGGATCTCTCAGTGACAGTGCTGACATCAGAGCATCTAAAAGGGCATTTTAAGTGGCTGTAATCTGCCTAGAGGACATTCGCTTTGGATTAGAAATGTACTACATTTTTTAAAAAGGATTACTTGTCCTGAGATAGGCTTCTGTAACTTGACATCCTCTTGATGAATTTGGACTACAAGTCCCATCATTCTCATGGAATGCAGGTTGGGGAACAGTATCTGATAATGCGTGAAATTTCTAAAGAAACTGAAATGAGGGGCTTATTTGGAAGGTGAGACTGCAGAACAAGAGATAAGGACGTTTGTGTCAGCGCAGGGCTCCTGGCGCCAAAGGCCCGTTTTCTCTGCGCAAATTCTAAAGACTTTTTAAGAGCGTACGTTGGGTACGGAACGCTGGGAATTGTACAACTTTTTCTGTCTAAACATGTGTGCGCTTACACCTTTAGTACACCCTGCGGTTTGTCACTGTTGGCTTAAGAGAAGAGAATGTTTGCTGCCGATCTACCTCTTACAACTGTCTTTTCAGTTCTGCTTATACCATCTGATGAAGTGCCTTGTAACCTTACGGAAGCTCATGCTAACACACTGAAATATCTGAACAACTAATGCAGTGATATATATATATGCCACACTTAAACTCTGACCTTACAATGGGCGAGTCTTGGCACCCTGGAATATCTTGCAATAAATGCTCCTATTGTGAACGTACAGCAACCCACGATAATCAGTTCACTGTTTGACTCAGTGTCCAAACTGGCTGGGCGATTCCAGGAGCTGTCATTCACCAGATCTGAGAGCTGGGCAAGGCTGAGAGAGAGGCGCAGGAAGAAGAAACCCCTGTTGGCATGGAGCACTCATGGCTGAAATGGACTTTTCGTTGGCAATCTCGAACTTATATACGGACTTCTTCAATTGCTACTGTGTTTCCCCGAAAATAAGACCTAGTACAATTTTTGGTACTTGCTAAAATATAAGACCTACCCCAAAAATAAGACCTAGCTGTGCTTATTCCCAGGGCCAGTGGGGAACATAAAGAGCCTTTTTAAACTTTATTTTTTAACTTAACTGAATGCACTGGGTGGAGGAAACATGCTTATGCAGCTCTGCCCCCTGCGGAGGGAGCTGAGCCACATGAGCTGATGCTTCCTCTATACCGCCGGCTCCTGTCACAGGCAGAGTGATGTGAAATGCTGTTGTACATGAATAAGTGTGGAATAATGCTGTACACATCAAAAAACAAAATAAAAAATAAGACCTAGTGTGTTTTTGTGAGCCTACCAAAAACAAAAAAACAAAAAAAACAGTGTCTTATTTTCGGGGAAACATGCTATAAGCATCCCATTCGGGGCAGAGAATGTGTGGCTTCTGGAACCGCTACTCCTGCCCCTTTTATGCCATCCACTGTAATTTGGGATTTCTATGGATCCAAGACTATGTGAACACCTCTTTAACTACTATACTATAGATACAGTTTGCATACAAATGGGCCTTTTTTATTTGGTGCCTTGAGGATGCAGGATGTGACCACACAAAAATATAATCACGATGCCTGGCAGGGTGGCCTGCGCCCTTGGAAAACTCTGCCTTGATGGGGGCTTTGAAAGAGCGCAGGTGACGTGGTGGCAGTTCTGCCGTGGGCAACCTTCATGCCGCTTGCCGAGCTCCCCACCAGCCACGTACTCAGCAGCCACATGCAAGCTGGTACCAAGCAGTGTTACTGATCAGAGACGCACAGGTACGGCAAAATTAAGTCTGCCTACATTTTGCAAATTGTCAGGCACCTTTTGTTCCGTCATCCCTCACAGATGGAAACAGTTTGTGCACAGATGTGTTCCTAAGAATGCCTGCAAATTCACACATACGCAAATTCTCACTCCCAAGAATAAACAAATCACCCCAAAATACAAAAACTGTATATTTTCATGCCGCAGCCATGGAGGGAAGTGTACATTTTCGGCTGGTGTTCTTTTTATGTTTTTGTATTTCTCTATAACTAAATTTGTGCAAAAGTACAGCATTTAAAAATGTACACAAGCCTGCACAACTCAGGAAAAGCTGGGCCACCGCAGAATCCATTGGTCAGAGTCTTCAAAATCCAGACTCAATGAGTCTATTTTGTGGTGTAGAGGTTAAGAGCATGGGACTGGGACTCAGGCGATCCGGGTTCGAGTCCCTGCTAGGCCATGGAGCCAACTGGGTGACTCTGGGCCAGTCACAGACTCACAGCCCAGCCTACCTCACAGGGTTGTTGTTGTGGGGATAAGATGGAGGAGGAGAATGATGTAAGCTGCCTTGAGCCCTTTGTAGGAAAAAGGCAGGATATAAATCGGGAAAAAACCCCAAAAAACATCCCTATACTGATGTAAGCCAATGCACTTTAGATCATAGGTCAACTGTGGCATTAGTGCAAAACATCAGTTTCATTTCTCTACATGGTGCACCAACAAGAGTTTTGATAAAAACTTATTTTAATTAACATAAAATTGAACAATATTCCAACATACACATCTATCCTTACAGTGCAATAAAAAGGTGTCCTCATTGTATGGCATTTTTGCATTATGAAAATAAAATGCATAACGAATATGAATCATGTAACTCTGCAATGCATCTAAAGTTGGCTTTGGCTTTTAAAGTCTTTATAAATTCATAGAAAATATTGAACATCTAACAAAATAAATAAAACATATTTTAATCAGAGATGCCTAATGATCAACTTCAAAAATTTGCAGGTTGGGTTTGTCTGTTTGTGTTTGCTACTAAATTTCTTTTAAAGAGAACTTACTCTCAGTAGTGCTCAGAAGTGAATGATTGCACCTTCTGTGATGTGAAAAAATAGAGCTATGTCCAGTTTTCAGAAGATCAAAAAACTGAAACAAAACAAAACCACTCGTTCCTTCGTTCAGGGTTTGCACGTCAAAGATCTGATTGTTCAATGTAATGGTGTGTGTGTGTTTTAAGTGCTCATTAAAATGCATCCTCATAATTGTTATGAGTCATCCCCACTCCCCAGGATTCTCATCTTCACCAGCAGAGCTGAAGATCTGTAGCCCAGCATCTTTTCTTTCACGATGAAAACTTCGAGCTTCATGTTCTTGGCGTGAAGATGGTGCCAAAAACAGGACAATTGGAACAAAAATGGCCCGCCCTTAGCAGAGGCACTGCAGCAATCCAGTGTAAATCAACATGAAGGGCTTACTCGAGGCTGTGTCCCCCAGAAGGCAGGAAGCCAAGATTTCACTGCTGACCTTAAGGCTCTCTTGAACGTCCAAGCTGCCCACGGATGGGTACAGGAAAGCCCTACTGTAATACTGAAGAGACCCCAACAAATCTGAAAATGCACGATCAAGTACAAGTTTGAAAGATTGCGCTTCCAGATGAATGACGTACACATGGAGAGGCCTGGCCACTATTCCGGTGGCGGTCGGAGAGTCCGTAGCTTCCTGTCATCCAACCCCTTCCAGTACTTAAAGTTGTTGTCCAGATGCTGCATCAGATTCGGCAGGTCTGCAAATGCTGGAGAGGAAAGGAAGCAAGCTTGTTTTACACTCCCAAGCAAACAGACATGGGTGTTTAGTAAAACAACAAGAAGTCATTTTTCAGCATGGGGCATTCTGAAAAATCTAAGATGGCACCCATCAGCCTAGTGGTTCTTTGGAAGCTCTGGGAAGGTTGTTTCCCTCTCCTAAAACTCATGGGTCCAGTCTCTGAAAATATGGAAGATGGGAGGTTGCAATCCTATATTGAATTACCCCGGCGTAAGACCCATTGACCACAAAGAAACTTATTTCTGAGTAGGCATGCTCAGGATTACAATGGAAGGGGTACTGGGTTGTGGTTGCCTTTAAATTTTCACAAATATCCCAATAAAATTCTCCACTGTACTATAGCATCTACATCTCACTGAGGATGCTTTCTTATGACTCTTAAACATCATCCCAGGGTCCTTAGGATACAGGGAATTCTCCCCTTCAGGTTTGAAGACAACACTCCACCTTCGGAGCAGGAGTTGAGGATCCAACCTCCTTCCTCTGACCCTTCTCAGTCGCTGGAGTAACTGCACCAAGTGGACTCTCAAGCTCAGCACCGCGGCCTTGGGAATGGGGAAAGGAGCGTCTTTTGGAGGGCAGGGAGAAGAGGAGATTAGAGAAGCCAGACTATGGGCTATGCGGAGGCCCTTCCAGCCTCCTTCCCTCTCCTTTTGAAGTGCTGTTGCTAGACGGGTAAGGATGCACATCAAAGAAAAATGCAGGGCAGGAGAATGCTGCTCATTCTGCCCTGTGTTGGATGATCAGAAGCCTCCAAGTTTGGGGGCTTCTAATAATCAAGGCTGCAATTGATAAGGATCCAAGAGGATTAAGCCTTCAGCATGCTTTAATTTTATCTCCAAATATTTCAGATCAAATACCTTACTGAGATTTATTGAGGCAAAAAGAACATGGAATGGGTTTTTAAAAAGCTTTGTTATTAATACAAGTAAAATAAACTGTGTTGCATCTCTCTGCAGCATTTGTATATTTTCCAAAGTAAGCATAAAAAATTCCCAAACAAATCACTTTATGCATATTAATTTATTTGCATGGGAAACAATTCCAATTAAAAATGTCCAGAAAGCTCACATCACTGTCTGGCACTGCTCTTGCAATCCCCTCAAATATATTTGAGCCACTATAAGAAGAGAAGAGATCACTCACCGTCCCAAGCATCAAACATGTCAGTGATGAAATAATCGATGAACGATATTTGAGATTTAGGAATGCTACAAGTATTTCTGTCAAAAACTGGCATCACCACAGGCAAGCCTTGTCGTTTCTCCTCATCTGTCTGCAAAGAAAATAATTGTCTGTTATTCTTAATGAGCTCTCACATATTCATTGAAAGCTGTGCTCTCAGCTAAAAATAATGGCACCTGAAGTGATGTATGGAGGCCAAATCATTCGTGCAACTCTATCTTTAAAACACATGCGGAATAGCAGACTTTTAAAAATTCACAGAGAATTGACAACTGATGGCTAAAAGCTCCAGTCATGATTACATTTGGAGCAAACTGCAGGCAGAAGAACGTCTTCTAATCTCTTTAACTGCTATTCTTTTTTCCTTTAGTACATTTGATAGATTTCGCTTCCCAAGTGGCAGTGTCCCGTAATGGCTCTTTCTCCAATAGAGCTTGACATGCAAGAGAGCCTGTTTCTCTCCATTTGACAGCTGTTCCTTACTGACAGGAGTAGGGAGCGGGGGCAAAAATTCCCCCAAGGTCCTACGCTGGTCATGTCCAGAGCACCTACAGGGCAGCGGACTTTTCTGCCCCCGCTGCTGGCATGAAGTGGCTCCCCCAGCTGACTCCAGCACTGACCTGACTTTCCTCCTGTCTCTGCCTGAGAACTTGAAAGGGCCACTAACCGTTAAAAACGGAAAATGCCAAGCGCATGTTTAACATTTGTCTAATGGAATAATCATAAAATTTAATTAGACATTGCATCTGTCTACCATGCACTTCCCCTTACATTTCTTACTCACGCCTTTAAGACAGCGGACTTGAACCTCTTTCTGCTGGAGGGCTGAGTTTGATTTTGGTATTGCTCTCGGCAGCTGCACTCCATTAGTGAGCGATGCTGGAGACACAAGAGGATGTGGCCACCGTCACACAGTCCTCAGAGGTGGGCAAGGCCAAAGCAAAGGGCACTCAGCAAAATACCCGAAGTGCCAGATAAGGAGGAGACGTGACCACCTTGGGCACTAGTTTTGGGCTGCAGCCCTGAGGTTCAACATCCGTGCTTTGCAGGAAGGTGTGGGGGAGAGACGGGACCCATCTGCACATACCTTTCTCCTCCTAGGAAAAATCAGACACGAGAGCTGAGCTGAAATTTCTCCAGCCTGCCACATCTTACCCACCTGTGCGAAATATTCCTCCGAGATGCGCCCGGCCCACTCAATGCACTGCTCCAGAGGCCGACATGGGTTGGAAACATCAGCACACTTAATTAGCATCCGCTTGATCAGGATTCGATTTTCAGGGGACGTGAGGACATTTTTTACCGAATCGCCATCTCCATTTGCACCCTTATCAAATTAAAGTTTACATCATCACCGGGACAAGAGCGACAAAAATGTAATGCACAGAATACCAAGTATGATCAATGTGCTAGGTTTAACATGAGAGAAGTCACATCCTTTTGTTATTCATGGAAATTGAATACATTTTTTAAAAAATGCATGAACGCAAAGGAACTAGATGCCCTTTAGAGTGTGCTATTATGCATATTTATACAATAAAGGTCCTACAACTCCCAGCGTCCCCCAACCAGCTGTAAGTTTCAGCAAAACAAAACCATTAAAAGGAAAATGAGTGGGAAATCAAGCACGGTAGATTTGAACATATTAACTATGCATAAGCTCCAGTGAAGGCCAACCAAATCTCTATGTGTGTGTCCACTGGAGAGTTGCTTCTGTATGCCATCTGTTCAAACACTGAAAGTGTTAGGTCCTCAATCCACCACGCTATAGGGGTGAGCATTTACCCTTCCAGGTTATCTGTACCTTTAGTTAACAGATTCCTAATGGCTTAATCAGACTGACTCACTGGTCAGGTCTTCCCCGGAATACTGTGCTTGCTGCTCTTTATGAAGCAAATTAGAGAAATTGGAATGGTTCAGAGGGAAGCAGCAAAGGCAATCACTAATATGGAAAACAAGGAAGGCCGTTAGCTGGAAGCATGAAGACCAAGACAGTAATATGATGGCTCTCTCCAAAGACCAAAAGGGCTGTGGCTTTTTCATGGATTTCTTTTTTAGAGAGAGAGAGAGAGAGATATACCACCAATAGCTGAAGCTCACTTAGAAGAAGACTTTAAGAAAGATATGAAGGCACACTGGTTCCTGCGTGGATGCCTTTCAAACTCTTGGTTAAATTCCAACCAAATACCGTTCCCTATAATTTTTCTGACCAATACAATTGTACACACACAGAATAACCCAGACTCACATACATTCCTTTTACATGCTGCATAAAACATGTTTTGATTCTTTTATTAGATGCTGAGCTCCTACTTACGCATTTTACTATAACCAATATGCTTATGAAACAAGAACTATAATTAGTGAAATATCTTGTTTCTTTAGAAGTGCTCTTGATTTCTTGCTAATTATGTCCTTCTTTTTCTTGCCTTTGTTTTGCTAGCTTTAATTCGAGGTAAAATAAACTAGCATGAAGAGGACTACCCAAGAGGGCTGGACTGGGTATTGAGTTACAAGAGGCCAGGTTTAGGTTGTTCATTAGGAGAAACTGCATAATGGTAACAGCAGTTCCGCAATGGGGCCCCTTTCTTAGAGTGGGGGTGTCCCTTCTTCACTGGTCTGTTAGGGTGCCCTTTGTTCACTCCAGATTTCCTGATTTGAGAAAAAGGCCAGACTCCCCAGCTTTATGATTCAAAAACCTAGCCGGTTCAGGAGTATGAACCCGTGCCTATGTATATGGGTGCAGGTGGTACAGGAAGCTGGAAACATGATATCAAAAGGTTGGGTAATGCAAAGTGTGCACAGAAATGTCACAGATGGCACCTCTCACATTTCAGGTTGGGGGTTTTTTCCGATTTATATCCTGCCTTTTTTCTACAAAGGGCTCAAGGCAGCTGCCATCATTCTCCTCCTCCATCTTATCCCCACAACAACAACCCTGTGAGGTAGGTTGGGCTGAGAGTCTGTGCCTGGCCCAAAGCCTCCCAGTTGGCTCCGTGGCTGAGCAGGGACTGGAGCCCAGATTGCCTGAGTCCCAGTCCCGTGCTCTTAACCACTCCACCACACTGGTTGTTTTGGGTTCATTGTTTACAATGCGTTTTCTCTATACTTGCGTGCGTGCGTGCATCTGACACTGTAGGGTAATTTGTGCCGCGATAAAATCTCTCAGTCTTTTAAGGCGAGGTGTCACAACCTTCCCCAACACATGCAAACAGATGCTTAAGAGTGTTAAAAGCAGCTGAATATCCTTCCAGAGCTACTTTTGCCCATGCATTTTTTTTTTTACCATAAATTGGAATGATTAAACGTGGATGGCGGCTTCTCTGCTCTCCCCTATGCATGCATCAGTGGGGAAAGCAAGATCTCAAACAGCACCCATAAGCAGAGAAGACAACTATTCTTCAGTAATTAGGTGATTTGTAAAAGCTTTTGATCCTGGCCAAGTCCAGACATGCAGGCTGGAATCCAAAGTCCTGCCTTCCGCTCAGCACTGCCATTTGATCATATATTCCAGTGGTGTCTCCATGGGATCCCCATTGTTCATCATGGACCAACTGCTGGGATGGCCAGAAGAGCTGGTACTTCAGCTCTTGTTTGCTCCCTTCAAAATACTTGGGCCTGCTCCAATTTTGCATTGAATAAATGGAAAAAAATCAAGGGAAACTCAAAGCAGCCCTTTGTCAAGAATGCAAAAACAGCCACCTCCCGCACAGATTGGTACAAAGGGCTGCAAACTTGGAGGAAGCCTTCGGCCCACTATGCAAAAATAAACAACACAATACAGGGCCAGGCAGCAAAGCCAGACCCTCAGTTTCCAGCACTCTCGTCTCCTTCAGTAGCTCTTTCACTACTAGGAACGAAAATGTCTTTCCCAGGGGGCCGAAGGGTCAAACTGCAACAAAAACCAATCAGAACCTGGCAAGTGACTGGCTGGGAGGTGCCAAACCCTTGTTCTCAGAAAGCCCAGATGTTAAAATTATTTTCTCAGCTGCTTGTGGGGACACAGAATGATATACATGTGAATGGATAACAAAATTGTAGGAACAGACCTAGTATTCTGCACCATCAGGGTCAAATTACTCATTATATTCCTTGCACAGTGTGTAACTTTATTTCCTTTTATTGTTACACTACAGTAAGTGTGCATGGCCCTGATTCTGGTTAGGATCACCACACACCAAGACAGGAGAATCAAAGCTCACCTTCAGTGTTTGCTGCTCCCCACCAGCACTCACAGAAGCTGAAAACAGCCGCTTTGCTGAGAAGTCTCTCGCGGTGGAAACGGGAGAGCCCTCAGCAGACCGGCGTGTTGAGCCCCTTTATGTAGAGAGGCCGGAGCTTTGGCTAAGGAGAGCTGTCTGGCTCAAAGCGGCTGTCGTTCCCGTGGCCAAGGAGGACCTGAAGCCTGCTTTCCATGCTGAGAGCCTACACTGCACCACTCACGTGCGTGGGCTGGAATCGGAGGCTCTTCCAGGTTCACCTACGGCCTTGTTCTACAGCTGTGTGCAAATGCCCTCTCTACATTTTCCACCCTGTTTGCTGGCAAAGAAGTGGGAAACATTATTTCATCATTTTTTCCAGAGGAGGAGGAAGTCCCCTGAAGTCTCTCAGAACGGGGCTCACCATTCCTGGGGACGGCAGCCTGTTTGTGAAGTGCCGTCTGCAGCAGCGGCTCAGCCACCATTTCTGGTGGTGTTCTTGAGCTGGGCTTATCATTACGGGGAGGGAGGTGGGGAGGACTGGGTGAGCTCAGTCTGTCCGTTGAACATCCTTCCCCTGCTCTGCAGACTCCCTGGATGCCGACACATCCTGATCAGAAAAAGATCCCGGGACAGGAATTCCCTTTGATGCCTTCCCTTGCGCTTTAATTAAAAAGCGGGGAGCCCACAGGCTGCCAGAGGGAGGAGTGCACAGCGAAAAGCAGGACACTGGCACCCGCTCCTTGGCCACCTTATAAGAAAGGTAAGTAAGGCCCACTGAACCCCACCCAGCAGATCTACCTGAATTTTTCTTTTCCTCCAAACACTTCTTTGAAAGCTGTTACTTTTTAATCAAATGGTTGAAAAAAAGTGGGGGGAAATACTGCACTGCTAAATTTTGCTCCTGGATCAAAAGCCTGCAAGCCTGACATATTAAAGGTGATTACTTCCTAAATAAGCAATTGACATCCGTCCACTGCTTTCATTTCCCTTCTGCTTCCTCGGAGGACCTCTTACCCCATTCTCTTCAAGGGCAGCCAATGGCTTGTTGATGCTGTTGACAAACTTGTTGACATGCTCAAAATGCTTGGTCATTTCGGTGGCCAGGACCATGTCGATAATGGCTTGCCGGAGTGTTCGGTATTCATTCCTGTGCACAGAAGGGAAAGAGGAGAACACGTGGAACGACTCTCCCAAGGCTGGCTGAGTGCAGTGGAGCGGCTGCGAAAAAACTGGGAAAGGAAAGCACTACTTTCTTTTCATTTTTTTACTACTGTCAATGATTTCAATAACATTTAGTTTATTAATCCCTCTGCCGTTAGAAAAAAAACTGGGCAGCAGGTGTGAGCATAAATAGATTTATACATTATGTTGACTTGCAGATAGATTTGCTTGGTTTTTTGCTGTTGCGAAATTGATGCGAGTATGAAAATTTGATAAACGAATGCTGCAACTCTTCAATAGAAGTCAGGCCTGCCTTCTCTACTGCGAAAGCCCAGCAGAACCAAAACAGACTCAGAACAGCAAGCAGCCATGAGCACTGCCAATTAAAATTTGCTTTGAGCATTTAAAATTGCCCCCTTCTGATTAATTAACAATTTTGTTTGATTTCTCACCTGCTTAGATTTGCAGCTAATTTATTAAAGCTGGGAGAGGATGGAAGAATTCGAAGGGAGCGAGAGCACTGGCAAATGGGGGAACACAATAGAACAGAGGTGGGAGGAAGGCAGATCCCCAAACGTGTGGGACTTCAACTCCCAGAAGGCCTGGTCTGAATGGCCAGTGATCAGGAATGCTGGAAGCTGATGACCAAAACATTTCAGAATCTACTTTCTACCCACTTCGGCTGTTTTGCCAGGGGCCTCCTGCTTGTATTGCTCAAGCCTTTGGGCTAAGCACAGATTCACAAATCGTGGTCTCCTGTTACCAAATCATAGTTACCGTCATTCACATTTAGCCATTAGGAAGTGGTGCAATCCTCAAAAGTCCACGTCTTTTCTCTCCATTTGAATCCAGCCTTAGAATATCACACCCGCAGACAGTAAAACTCTCTCACTACTATTATTTCCATGCATCTTTTTTCTTAATTCCTTTAAGAGCTGTAGAGAACGTAGTTTCATCATGGCAGATATCACTATTTTTTTAAAATTACCTCTCCATGTTTTTAAAAATATTGCATTTATCATCCCGGGTGGTGATCTGGAAGGCCAAGGCCGCATGATGGCTCTCCAACACCGCAATGTCGTTGTACAAAATGGCAAGCTCACTCCCTGCATTGCACAGGAAGGAATTTGTTCTCCCCGGGTGATCCACGTCGTGCACGGTGGCAGCAATTAGTGCAGCAACTTCATCGATGGGATCCAGAGTTTGCTGGGAAAAACAGAGGAGGAGAAATGATGGTCTGGGGAGAGGTTAGGATCCTAGGCTGGTCTTGCACCAGTTCTGGAATGAATGGCAAAGCACCGTAGGCTTCCGGCCATCCCGTGTGGTGCTCTCCCAGCATGTGGAGCCCGGCCCGAGTGATTTGCGCATGGTCTGGGACCCCTGCCACTGGGTCCAAGCCACCCCCGGCTGGGAAGACACCATACTCATCATGGCGTGTGAACTGGTCCCGACCTGTCCGGAGAGAGGACGCTGGTGTGCATGGACACATGGGCAACTGTGTGGAGATGGACAAATGCACCCTTCTTTCCCTGTGAGGCTGAACTTACTTTTACCCTTTCTTTAGAAAGGAAATAGGCTGTGGCGTGCAGCACATCAGCAGAGTGGGTTGAGTTATGATAGGAGTTGGATGAGTGGTAATTGGCTTCAATGACCTGCAACCATGATCGCAGAGTCGACTCTGAGCAATTAAGGAACTCGCAGATCCGAAAGCGGGCAAACATTTTCAGACCAAGATAAACTAAAGGCCTGGAGGGGAACAGAAAGCAATTAGTTTTTCCTCCAAAGTGACTGCGATGGAAGCAAAACTACAACAACTTGCAAATGACACCACACTCTTACCGCACCCTTGTTTTAACTGCTGTCTGTCTGTCTGTCTGTCTGTCTGTCTGTCTGTCTGTCTGTCTGTCTGTCTGTCTTTCTAGAATTTTAAGGCTATTTTTAGGGTTAGGGTTTGCAAAGCAATGTGCAAAGAGAAGTAAGGTGCAGCAGAACCATCAAAATATTTAGGTTCTCTAAACAGCTTCTCTGACACACAAACAATGCATGGTTTGAATGAAAAGCAGCAGACAGGCCTGCTTAAATGCCAACTGGAAGGGATGTTCACAGTTTTGAGGCCACCACTGGAAGTGTGTGTCCCTTCTGCATAACATCTAATCAGGCTTAAGGTTGACACTTGATCCCTGAAGCAGAACACTGAGGCAGATCTTAGCATACAGACTGGATCACAACTGAAGGCGCTCCTTCAGATAACATTCACATAACCTAGTCTTGAGCCATTAAGACTTGAGCCATTAAGCCAGACTAAAACAACAAAAAGTCTTGAGGTATTAAGACAGACTAAAACAACAAAAAGAAAAAAACCCTGAGATAAAATTTAATCGGTTTGCAACAAGAAAAGCATTCGCAAATTAAAGCATAAAAGAAGCATTTGCTACTGGTGGCCTGAATGTAAACTTTGGCTACTGCAATGACAGCCCGGGGCCAAGACCTGTCCTACCAGTAGGGAGAGTGAGAATGCCTCCTTCAGGTGGTAGGTGTATAGGGCAACACAGAGGGTTCAAACAGCCTAATAGGCCACAATGAAGGGTTGCATTCAGGTGGGTTGTTTTTGAACTGTGGGCTGTTGTTGAAATGTGGTTAGTTTGGCTAACAAACCGTTTTTAACCAAAGACAATGCACAATTCTCAATCCAGTAACAAACCATGGGTTGCTGTCAATGGTTAACAAACCATGGTTTGTTAAAGCAGCTGTGTTCAGACCACAAGTTACCCCATGTTTCATCAATAACCCATGGTTCAGTGACTACCTACACGGAACCCATAATCATTCCTTGAGTATAGGTTATCCTGTTGTTTTAAACACTCACTGTACGTTATTGAGCATATTATTCTTATCACCAGTTTGGATAAGATAGGGAGACACCAGCTGGAGCACAGGATTCTGCACAGGTGGACAATCACATCACTAACCGGGACTTTTGAAACACTCCAAAGATCAGTTGTTTTGTTTGTTCCAGATCACTTATTTACAGTTAATAACCCAGTTTAGAATTACTCCTCCTAATATTCAGGTTTTGTTCACAAAATGGTCATAAAGGTAACTGGCATCTCCTCTTCAGCCTGCTGCCCTCTCCCAACCCAATCCTCCTCACAAGGAAGCTGAGAGGAAGACAAGTCTTCAGGAGGAAAGATGGAATAAAAACTCTTTGTCATGCAACTCTTGGCTGCTTTTCACAGGTGCCGTCCTTTGTGTTGTTGCTTCTTCCTAACCAACCTTTTATGGGTCGCTGCTTCCAGTTCGAAGATGTTGAAGTCCCAGCATTCTTCGTTCTCCATTGCTTGTGCTATCCTTGGCGGTATGTCGTTAAGGGAGATGGGTGAGATCAGACTTCCTGGAACCTGATGGGTTTCTAGAAAAGAAAGGCACGCAGAGAGCATAATTAGAAATGCATTCTGCCACTGGCCGAGCAACCAGGCCAGGCTAGCAGCCGCACACCCTGCCAGCAGCAACCACATCCAGTAAGACTCCACTCAGCCTGGACCCACCTGGGGCAGTAAAGCTGCTTGTATTCCCCCTCATTGCCCCAGGAACCAACTACCCACTTCCTTCCTTGCTAGAAAGAACAGGCCTCTTGAACAGCCCATTGTCTAGGGGCTAGAATTGAAGGGAAACACGCTCCAGCTTTCTCCATCTCCATAGAGCTATTGGCTGCCAGGTTCTATCTTTATAAACTAGGAGCAGAATTGTAACCTGGCCTCTGGAGTTCCACATTTGGACATGGCCCTTCCCGCTCATGTTGCTAGTTTCTTGGCTTTTGTGCTTCCTTCCCATCCCGAAAGGCATTTCCTAAGGTTTCAGTTACTGGTGGTGAGTTCTTTAAGATAAAATCTGCTGGTATTTTGGCCCTGCTCTCTCTGCCTTGGGCCCAGTCCACCACTGGAATATGGCTTCCAGGAGGGCCACCCAAGCTGAATTTGGTCCCTGGACTGAAAGAGGCTCCACACCCCTGCCTTATAAAGTGCAAAAGGCCAGGAGGCCCACCGGTCCAGATCAACAGCTGCTGCAGGGAGAGAGCCAGTAAGGGCTGGTTGTTCATGTGTTGGACCGGGGACCAAGGAGATCCGGGTTCTAGTCCCCACCTGGCCATGGAGCTGACTGGGTGACTTTGGGCCAGTCACTGCCTTTCAACCCAACCTCCCTCACAAGGCTGCTGTGCGGAGGAAATGGAGCTATGTAAGCCACCTTGGGTTCCTCACAAGAGAAGAAAGGGCAGAATATAAATAAAAAGTTACGCAATGCTCACACTAACTCCACAAATTTTGCCTGCATTTGTTTATCTTCCTTTTCCCTCCCCAGCTCTCTTTCCTTTTGTATCATGCCTATTAGACTGCATGCTTGCAGGAAGGGACTGTCTTATCCTCCCATCTCTACACAAAGCTTAGAAAATGTCAAATGGTTCAGTTAATAAAAGCATCAGCAATTTATCAGGACCTTTTTTCAAACTGAATCTATCCATAGGTTCTTTGTACTAACATTATCTGGTTCTTGACTGTTATGTATTGTGATAACTGCACAAAATTTTACATAAGCTCTTTTTCTAATCATCTCTAATTATCCATACTTAAATAGTAGAAGGTCAGGTGAACAAACTGTATACTTACGTTTTGCTGATAAGATATACTCATTCCCTGATAATCTTCGTAGACCATCCTGTTTAAGAAAGGATTAGAATGTTAAATGGAGGATGACTGAGACTTTTAAAAAATATTTTATGTTCCAGATGTTCAAGAAAGTGGCTGCAATGCAAAGCAGCAAAGATTATGCAGAACCCACAGCTGGAAATAGCAGGACTCCAAAGTCTATCAGACCATGTTCCACTGGCCCTGAAGAAAGCGTGATGGCGTTCTGTTGATTTATGGGCAGACAGAAGCTGGGGGGCCACAGGCTGGCTGAAGGCTCGGGCTAGTCATGTAGCAGCTGCCATGGAAGCACAGCCAGTCAGAAGGCAAGTAACTCCTCAAGCAACTGAGTAAAACCAGAGCTAAGGGCTGAACTCCAAAGCCAGTCCACATATTTGATTGCTTGATATTGAAACAATACAATACAAACCCTAATATAATACCAATTTCAGGCTGTAGCCTTATGCATGCTTACGTGAAATTCAGTGGGAATCCTTCATAGGATTGCTCTGTTCATTCCATGCATGCATCCACGCACGGACTTTCTCCAGTCCCAAACAAAAGAAATTGCATCCAGCAGCAAAACTAAAGAAGTATTTTTTTACAAGTATTTTTACTAGTAACCTCCCCAGGAAGCCTTATGGCTAATGGGGTGGGATAAAAATCAAATAAATAAATAAATCCGTTTTTCCTACTTGAAATCCACTGTCAACTGCTCCATTCCCCACCTGGCACTCCTACATCCTCCTCTGCTCCTGGAAAAAATGCTGTCTGTGTGTGTGTGTGTGCACACGTGTGCGTACATGTGTTGTGTGTGTGTGTGTGTGTGTGTGTGTGTGTGTGTGTGTCGAACAAGAAGGGACTGGGATGGGAGAGAAAGGAACAAGCACTGGCAGGGAAAGAGCAAAGCAAAAAAGGTGGCACTAGAAATACCAAGTCTAGATGCTGGGAGTAGAGAGAAACAGCAAGATACAGGGTGAAAGGGGGACAAAAAGCAAACCGAGGGCTACAGAGAGAAGGAAAGAAGGCTAGGAATGTAAAGGACATAGCAATAAAGGTTGGAGACATCTGCAGATGTGGAAGAAAACTGGGTGGGGCCGGAAGGCAACTTGTCTGGTCTTTTTCTGCCCACTGGACAGCTGACTGGCAGCAGGTTCAAAAATGGAATAAGAACGTACAGCTGAAATACTTCTCAATGTATTTTATTTTGAAGAATACATTTTGAAGGGGGCATGGAGTCAAGAGCGTAGTGGATACTTTGGGGGGTCTCATGGGTGGTATTGCAACGGTTGCATGGGTACCGTGTTGGAGACCATGGGGAAGATTAACTGCCAAGCTTCCCTTCAACTCTAAAATTCTGTGATCAAACCTACCGTCATCAAGCCTCCCACAAGGTCGCTTGTATGTGGGTCTTCATCCTTCGTCCCAAGCTGTGGAGAGTATAACTCTGTGGTACGCAGGATCTCAAGGACTCTGTCTAACGCTTCAGCAACCGGCATTGGACTACTTTCTTGTGCAGCGTTGATAATATTTATTACCTAGATTGAAAGAGAGAAACCTGTACATTCTAACCGTTTCTTCCCAGGAATGTCCCCAAGGACACGGCTACATTTCTCCTGGTTGCATTTTTGAGCACAACGGCAACTGGGCTATTGGGCTGAAAGAACCCCTCCAGCTCTCAACCACCTTGTTGAACTGTAAGTTCACCCGGCGTGAGAATGATCTGGGATTTTTGCCTGCCTCCAAATATTCTCTCCATCGCTACCCATGCAGGAGTGTTCCATCTGAAGGTGTGTGGAACATGAATATACACTCAGAGCTAATACGTTCCAAGGAGTAATTCCAGAAGTTGAAGTGTAGTTTATTATCAAAACCTCAGGAACAGAAGAAGCTGCATTATTCAGATCTGTACTAAGCAGAGCTCATTACTGTCTATGGCAATGTCATTTGGACATAATGCTAAACCATGGTGCCTTGGACTCAACCACTCTGCCTTGCCCTTTCCTCTTCTGGCCTTGTTAAGGCAAAATCAGAAACTTTATTTTCTCCATTTTCATTTAACCACAGTTTAGCATGATATCAGAACTGGGCAGACCGTGGTTAGTCTTAACTGTAGTTTACTACAACAAGAAAATATCCCAAACCTTTTTTTTATGAAGCTAGCATATTTCATCAAACCATTATTAAGATTAACTATGGCTGAGGGTTAGGATGGAATCCCAGACTTCAGTTAACTCAAAATGGAAGCAAAAAGCTTTTGGTCTCCTCCTCATGGTTGTGCCAGAGAAAAGGAAGAGAATGAGCACAGAAAATCTGTGGCTTGGTTCCATGTTTGGTGTTCTGTCAAACTAAGGCCACTGACTGGGCAGTTTAGCACAGCCCTCCGCAACCTGATTCTTCCTAGACATGCTGGACTATAACTCCCAGGGGATGCTGGGAGTTGTAGTCCAAACTCACCTGGAGAGTCCCAGGTTGGGGAAAGCTGGTTTAACATCATCATCCTCATCTACTGCATGTATATCTTACATGGGAAACTCAGGGTGAGGTGCATGGTTCTCTCTCTCATTTATCCTTACAACAACCCAGGGAGGTAGATTAAACTCAGTGTTTGTGACTGACCACAGTTTACTGAGCTTGAACATCACATGGAACTGTGGTTGATTTAAAATCAAAAGCAGATATTTCCAGTCTTCTCTGACATATGAAAGAGGAGAGAGAAGAGGAAGGGGGAACAAGCAAACCTAAAGATCCTGTGGTCTTGCTCCCATTGTGAGAAACCATAGCTCCCTATTACATCTGAACTAGCTGATAGTCTACAAGGTACGGATACTGAAGTAGTGATGCCAGTGACCTAAGAACAAGCCATTTGGCACAATAAATGGGACATTCTCCTTTGCAGGCACATGCACGCAAGTGAGAACCACGGAAGAGCATGGTAGCTTTACAATGGGACACTGGAACCCCTTAGAAAATCACTGGGACTGGATCAAAATGACGTCAGACTGTGACGTCTTACCTTAGTAATCGGTGCTTCGATAGTCATGGAATGTATCCTGGCCATAGATGAATGCCTTCTTTGTGAACTGCCTAAGCGGGAGAAAATTGAATGAAATCAGTGGATGGTATTCCCAGGTGGAGGGCAGCTACTCTGTCTTTTCTTTTTAAAAGATTTTTTTCTGGTAAGGAAGAAAGGAGACAGAAGAGGTAGGAAAAGATGGAAGGGCTATCCTTGGAAGATGTTGCTTGTTCCCCTCTAAAATTCCATGAATGAGGCAGGAAGAAGGGTTGGAAGCATCCTTGGTCTATCAGAATGACTATTATTTCATTAGATTCATTCCTGCCTTTTTTCCTTCAATGCACTCATGGAGGCTAGCATAATCCTCCTCCTCCTCCTCCTCTTCCTCCTCCTCCTCTCAATCTTATCCTCGCAAGGCAGGTTAGGCTGAGAATCAGTGACGGTCCAAAGTCACCCAGAGAGCCAAGAGGGGACTAGAACCCGGATCTCCTGCATCCTTGTCCAACACTCTAGCCACCACGCCACACCGGCTCCCGTTTGGTAAGTGCAATTCGCAATTTGTGCAAACTACATTGGGTGCAAACTGGCTGATTCTGTACAAATTACACTAAGGCAAGTGGTTTTGGGGTGTTTATTTGCACAAATTCTACTAACAATTAAGATATGCAGATTATGAAAGTCTTACAAGTGGGCTTGACTTGCACCACTGCAGTGCTAACAAGCCAAAATTCAGGAGGCACCTGGCCGAATCACATCCGTCAGATTTTCACCCCACTGCCAGATCCCTCACACATCCCTATCCAGCCCCTTCCTCTCTCAAGGTGACACTGTCAGCTCCTTCCAACAGGAATGGCTGGGGCATGCAGATGCAGAGTAACACAACGTACCATCACTGCCCCGAGAGGTGGTTGATCTGACGTCTAAGGAGCCTTTCCTCCTGTCCTTGTGCCTGCAACTCTGGATATCTGTAGAGACAAGGGTGTTGGGTTGTTATTACACCTGCGAGAAACCATGCTCCCCTTTTCACAAGCCACAGAGCCTTCCTGGTGGCTGCACGAAGGCTTTGGAACTTCTTGCCAAGGGGAGCTGGCCAATCCTGTTTCCACAATATTTTTGTACTCGGCCAGGCCTTGGCCTGCAAAGCTGATTGTTCTGGCCACTCTGCACGTTGCATTGCAGTCAACCGCCTGGTTTGATCGCTTTGGTGCTCTTCATGTGCCATCTGCCCTGGCCTGGTTCTGTTCTCATCTGCTGGAGTACAACCACCATCACCCTCAACTGCCATGAGCACAGCCTCATTCCAGCCAGGATAAAACTCAGACATTGCCCTTGACATATTAAAATCCAGAGTGAGGCAGCTGCATCCACAACTGCTCCTTAGGAACAGAAAATGAAATCAGCATCGCCTTCTCCTACATACCTATTAAATATTCAAGGTTGCCAGCTTTGAAACACAGCTGCCTGGGGCAGAGAGCTTTCCATTTATTTAGTCTCCCTGCCAGAATACCACTTTATTGCTATGCAAATATTATTGCTTTCTCTTGCACTGCGTAATCTGGGCTTTTCACTGTGGTCTTCTTGTCACTGCTTCCTAAGAAATGCGGTAAAAAAGAAGGAGGCATGCCAGGATTATCGGAGAGTGGCCCCCCCTGGCCCCACTCCCGGAATTGGGCATGCATTCCAACTCTGCCAGGTTACCCTGGATGGCGACCCTGGAGAGCCTTCGCACATAGGTATTGGCCGGGTAGCTATGCAAACTCATGCATGCACCTCTTCCCTGCAGATGATGTGCTAACACGTGGGCATCTGGCGGTCAGAACAGACCTTTTTATTTAAACGCCATTTTAATTGTTAACAATATTTGCTTATTTATCTGGCCAGGGTGACTTCTTTTATATTTTATATTTATTTTATATTGTTAATTTTAATTTTATATTGTTATTTTTGTATTTTATTGCATTTTATTGTGTTGTAAGCCGCCCCGAGGCTTCGGCAAGGGGCGGCATAGAAATGTTCTAATAAACAAACAAACAAACAAACAAACAGGGGTGTGTGCGATGGCAGGTGCGGAGGGCACAGCCTCCATCCTCAGGAATAGTATGATGCCCACTTCACGTGCGTAGCATGTGAACTGGCATGGTAGCGCGGCATCTAGAGGTCTTGGGTATGAACTTTACAAAATATCGCTCAAAGCACTTGTGGCATAAGAGCTCTGAGTCCTTGTGAAGGAAAATGTTAGAGACTGACCTCTGCAAAAACCAAAAAGGAGGGACCACCATGGCCAAGTGCTTTGCAAGTAGGAGGCCCCAGATTAAAAGTGGGGGGCAGGGACCATGTTCAGCCTCTGAGCAGTCAGAGCAAACACGCAGGACAGGTTATCTGACTCGGCATATTTCTGTGTTTTTTGATCAATTTATAGACCACTTGATTCTATCTGAAAAAGATACCACAAAGTGGTTTGCTACATACAATACAAAGTGTTTGTGGTTCAGGCATTTAAAAAGAGTATATAAGGCATCTCAATTAAAAGCATTTTGCAAACCACATGCCCAAACCATTCTCAATTAAAATGAAGGAACTAGCAATCAACTAATCAGGCAGTATGTACAGCAGTTTCTATTTTCTTTGCCTGTATCTGCATTCTGGGCATACTGGACTGCTCCACAGGGCTGTTACAAAGATCACTGTGATGGACTGTGTGAGCACACGCATGCGTGCCTGTGTATGTATGCATGTTTGTGAGGGGGGTGCAAAAGGGAAAGAGACAGAGAAAAAGAGTGACTGCACGGGACGGTTTGCACAGGGTGTTAAGCCACCCTGCGAATGCATGAAGTGGGCTGGCTGCCTGTTGGGGGAGCGAGGGGACCATGGGGCGCACTCGGCCTGCTTCCCTCCTTGTTCCCCCTCCGCCTTCCAACGGTCTCCGGCAGGCGCCCCCAGTGCCTCTGCAGCAGCACTTCATTTGCTGGGCCGCTGCCCTGGGCTTCGCTGCTCCGCCTGCAGCCACTCCTGAGCGCCCACGGCAAAGTCACCCAGCGAACCACCAGAGGTCTCAACTACCCTAAAACAAGCCATGGGTTCTCAAGGCGGCTGGCTGGTGAAAACCAGGCACGTGCACTAGGTCTGCACAACACGGCAACCCACCGTGAACCATGGCTATTCGTGAACAAGTGAGTGCACGTGAAAGGTGCTTTGAATCTTGGGATGAAGCAAGTCGAGCAATTACACCCGGCATTTGGCACCCCTTGGTCACCTTGCCCGTGATGAAAGTGGAAATGCTTTTCTATTTTTTTAAAAATCCGAACTTCTATTTCTGTGTCATGTTTAATTATTTTTGTGAAATACATGCAGGGCTGGACAGCTTGCATGCCACTTGTGAGCTCTGTGCGGGTTCGCCACCCCAGCCCTTTGCAGCCTCCACGTGCCCCAGCAGGGCGCCAGAATGCGGGGGGAGCCCCCTTTGGGGGGGGGGGGGGAAACTGGCGCATTTCTGCTCTGTGGCAACATAAAAGGACCTTTTCAAAGGAAACGATCGGGCGAATGTTTGTGGTATGGCAGCGGGGCAGGCAGGAACGGGGGGCCAGGCAATGTGTCCAGCCGATCCCTGGAGGTCACCCACCCTGACCAAGAATAATTGTATTTCTAGAATCTGATACGGGGGATATGCATTGTAAAACACAATTACTGATACATGTCAGATGGCAATAAGCTGAATTATTCTTCAAGTATGAGCAGCTTTCCTCCTACAGGTCTGCAGTATCCTACCTGTTTGGGATTCAGCTTGGACACGTTCGCAAACCCTTTCAGCCTGCAAACCAATGGAAGCAAAACACAGAATTAGCCAGAACGCGAGGTTCACCCTGGAATGCACCCCCTTCTGTGTGCATGGCACGCACTTTTTTCTGCCTACCTTATTGTTGTCATTGCAGGGTCTACTAAGCGACACATAGTGTCTAATTCTTCTGTAGGAAAACAAAGCAGAACAATGCACCATAACGTATTTTTGTCTGCACCAAGTTCAGCTTTGATTCTGCTCGGGTGGGATCTCTTTTCCTAATTCCTAAGTAATATGTAGCCGGGCACTGTGAGTTCACCAGGTTGCACAAGCATTCCAGTTGTGTCTCTCACCCTGGGCTGGCCCCTTGTGCCAGACACCCCCGGTGGGAGCGCCTTCGGCCCCTGCCTCCCCACTGCCACGTCACCCGCTGCTCGTGCTCCCCATCTGCCTCCTCACCATTGCAGCCGCTTGCTCGCACGACAGGCAGGGCCAGCAACGAGGCCGGGGCATCCGCCACTGCTCTCTCCCATCGTCTCAGCCCGGACGAGAGGCTGGGGAGCAAGCAAGCTGCAGGGGTGAAGAGGGGCAGAAAGGCCAAGGAATCCCTGAGCCAGCCGTCACTTTTTATTTTTTTTAAAAAAATTTGGCTTCGTGTGTGAAAACCTGCCCTTTGGATCTTGCAAAATGCTGTGCCAAAGTCTGCAGGCTATTAATAAACCCGATGCTGATGAAACACCCTTCTTTTATTTACAGGTTGGCAACTGGGAGGCCGCCATCGATCAAGGATGCCTTCTGCGGCTGACCTCTGGCATAATTCAGGAGGAGGGCCAACACAGGCACGCCTTGTCACAGGTCCACAGTCCGGCCCTTGGCACCCCTGGTCAAAGGAGCTTTGGTAGCAAGGAAAGCCAGTCTGCCCAGCTGCTGGAAGGCCGCTGCTGGTCAGGGCACCGCTCCTCGGCTGCCTGTGCTGCTTGTGCAGGGAAGGGGCCAAGGCTCAATGGCAGAGCACAAGCTTTGCTTGCAGAAGCACCCCGTAAGGCCAAGTATGTTGGAAAAAATGTTGCTGGAATGGAGACACTAATCAGCATCGACCACACTGGGCTAGAGGGATCAAAGCTCTGACATGCTGTAAGGCAGCTTCCCAGTTGGATGGCCTTGTATTTGCTTTTGCAGAAGACATTCCTCTTTTGGAAGGGCTGCCCTGACCAATTCCAGTTTAACCAAGCAGGGCAGCAAAAACTGATGCCCAGAACAGGTAGCATCTGGCACCAAGGTGCCACGTTCTGCATTTCTATTGACATTATAATAGTTAACTCTAATTTTTTATCTCATTTCGTCAATTGGCATGTGCAGATTTTTTGCAAACTGCGATCCCTCCCCACTGCACTTTTGGTGACATGTTATCTCTATTTTGACCATTTCTGTGTGGCCACCCTACTTCCTCGGTTCTGTGTCTGCTTCAGCTAAGTCCCTGATCTCTAAAGTCTGAGACAGGATGATGCGTCTTGTAAACAAAGAAAAAAGAGGAAGATTTCTGCAGGGCTCATAAGTACTCTGAACATCGAAGGAAAAAAACATCCTACTTATTTCAAGGGAAGTAGAATGAAGTTAAGACAAAACCAGGGGAGTCTGCAACAAAGTGCTGCAGTACAGAGTCCTTCTAGTCAGGATTCCAGACACGCCATTCCATTTCCTTTCTGACCGGGTCCCCAGTGTTCCTCCAATGGCTGGTTAGCCTCTCTGAGCTGACATAGCATACTCAGTAAATCCTCAACGTGCTGTTCTGGAGTTCTGCCCCTTGCCTGCCCCACGGATTTGTTGTTAGAAAGACTTTTGGAACTTCTGAGAATCGTGAGCCTCCCTCTTCCACATGGTTGGTGCTCTTCTGGCTAAATAAAGATGGAGAACTTTAGGGGAGAACTGTCTGGAGAACTGAGGTCTCTATTACTGTGTATGATGTAAGCTGCTTCTTTTTCTCATGGGCTGCATTCCCTCCTAGCAAATTTCTCGGGGGCCACACGCCAGCACAGAACAGGGCCAGCACACAGCCAAAGGTAGGTGGGCCACCAATTTTCCCATTCCCTGTTCCCTCTTCCTGCTTTCTCTCCCTCAGTGGATTGGCAGAAGGGACAGGTTGCTTCTGCCAGAGATCTCAACCCATCATCTGTAGATCAAGGGCTGCAGGTTGTGTGCTATGCTTTAACAATGCGGACACGGCCACCTGCTTGGATCTCTGTGGGACTGCGGTTTGATTAGAAAAGGAAAGCTGGGAGATTAAGAACAGAGGGGCAGCAAGGGCAGGAAAGCAGGTGCCAGAGCCTTGGGAAGAGAGTAGAAAACCTCACCCAGTCCGTGGAGGCCCCGTTCATCATGATGACTTTCATTTATTTCAGAAGAAAGAATTGTGGGCAACTCTCCATATACATGGCTCAGTTTTCTTTTAAATGCAGAATTGATCCTAAGTCACGTACTGACAGCACAGAGTGATTTCAAGGCTTACCCTCCCTGTCCAATGACAGGTATTATCTTCACATTTTGCTGTATGCTTTCCCCATTTTTCTTTTTGGTGTAGTATGTTCCTTGCCATTCCTGCGGGTGGGATTCAAGATCAAGTAAGAACAACATTCTGCATAACAGCACAGAGACGTCTCTGTGACGCCTTAAAGAGATGTCTTAAAACACGTCACCTCTTGGGTTCATAGTATCCTTCTGCATTCTGCCAATTCCATTCTCCTTGCACTTATTTTGCCTCGGGAGAGGCAGAAGTCCCGGTGGCCCCAGAACTGCTGGGGACAAGAAGCCTTACTTGAGGCTTTTCCCCGGCAGTTACTTATGTATGCTTAGTGCCCAAGCAAAACAGGTTATTAAGCAAAGGATCCAGGATATTGATGCGTAAGCGGGATACGTTTGTTCATTCTCATTATCTCACCCACACACCATGATCAGCCTCCGAGACCTTCCTCCGAGACCATCTTGCAAGGAAGCCTCACAGAAGATGGCAGCGAGGGCAGGGGCTTTTCAGGGGTGGCCCTGGAGCTGTGCAATGCTCTCCCGTAGAGACCTGCCTAGTGCCCTCATGGTCCTCTTCCTGGTGCCAGGTCAAGAATTTCCCCTACTTCCAGGCATTTAAAGGAACATGATGGGCTTTCTATGCAGCAGTTGCTTCGATGGTCTGTACTCATGTATTATATATTTTAATATAGATAGCATTTAGCTATTTTATAAGTGTATATTATATTATTAATAATAACAGTATTAATAATGACAGCAGTGCCTCTCCGTTGTTGTCATATGCATTCCAGACTTCACAGACCATTATTTAAGATTGTCACCTGGGCCCAGATCCTCCTTGACTTCACGTGATGCCACGCCATGCCCTGGAAGAAGCAGTCCATTTCAAAGAATTCTGCTCAGGCAAACATTTTGCCCCTGCTTTTCAGAGGAAGCAGAATCTCTTCCACACACGCTTTTTCAAGGTTATTTTTATAAGGGCACAAACCATGCCTCACACTCTGCCTTTATAAGGACATGTTCCAACAGATCAGATGAAGTGCAGGTTAATGGACGGTTCACTGCAAGCGCACACCGCACCATCTGGGTTCCTCACAAGAGGAAAAAAGGTTGGATGCACATGCAACAGAGACGGGAACAAAATTTCTCCCCAGAGGTGCTGGTGCTTGGAGGCTAACGGAGCGCCAGGCGCCTCCTCTCAGGCCATCCATTCTGCGCAAGGCGGGTGCGGCAGGAATGAATGTGTCCTTTCGACAGTGGGCCTGCAACTGTGCCGGAACCCCACAAGAGAGGCCTGCCTGATGTGTCCTTCGGCATCCTTCTGGCCAGTAAAAAGTGCGTTGTTTTCCAAGCCTTTTCAATAACATGGTAGCATTTCACCTTGTTTTAGTTTTACTGATTTTCATCCCTGGCTCTCCATGTTTTCTGGGATCTGTTGCTTCCAATTATCAATTGCTATCCGAATGCTATATTTTATCTTATTATATGCGGTCTGTATTACAATTGGTTGTTGTTATATCTTGCACACCTCCCAGAGACTGCTTTGCTGCTGTTCTTGTTGTTATGGGGCAGCCTACACATCACATAAGTAGGTAAAATAAAATAGGACAATTTCAAATACACTTTCAGTTAGTGCAAAAACAACTAATGTTAGCCCTTGTTCCTCTGACATACTTGACCGTCCTCCTGCATGGGAGCTGCGCCACTCATGTTTACGGCCAAATGCAAATGGCAACCAAAGCATTTCCTTTCCAGATCAGAGCTCTCTCTCTCTCTCTCTCTCTCTCTCTCTCTCTCACACACACACACACACACACACACACCATGACTCATCCCTCGCTGTATCGACTCCTGGATGCATTAATGCCTAGATGTGCGCAGTGCTTGTGATTCACCGTAGCATCCTCATCAAATGCTGTGTCAACAACCTGGCACCTCTTAATCGAGCATCCATCATCTTCATCACCCATTCTTCTCACCTGACTCACACAGGCTGCGTGCAGCCTGTGACATACACATCTTTGCGGTGACCACCCGCCTGCTCCCCCTTCTGCAAGGGCCACGGCAGTGACATGGCTCCTGCAACCTTCTTCACTGCCCGAGGCAGGCCCAGGCTGTCCTCATGCGAGCAGATCCCATTGCGGACGCGTGCTTTCCGTTTGTGCGAACGTGGCTGGAGAGGGGCTATTCTGAGCATGGCAGCAGCCCATGGGCCTGACCCTTCCTGTCTTGCTCTAGGCTCCCGAAGCACCAGGCTGTCCTCTGCAGTGCAGATCTTTATTGGTACTTCTCAGCTAACAGTACACCTCTAAAAGCCCTCTAGCAGCTGAACAATAACCTGCTGATGTCAAGAGCGAGAGCTGAGCCCAGGCTGCAAGCTCCTCCCTTGATTCACCCTGCAGGATCTACCCTCAGGGTGGCTCCTGCTGATGGAGGGCCAGCCAGTGAGACCTGCACAACCCTCCAACCGGGCACCTCATCACTCCCAACCCTTTGTCAGGGACCAAGCAAGGCGACTGCTCTCCTTCCTCCCCCATCTCTTCCAAAGCCTGGGAACCTGCAGGCAGGGAGGGACCTTGATGGAGATTCAAAGGCTCCTGCCCTGCTCCTGCCCTCCCACTGCCTCCTCCTTGCTGTCCTCCTCTTCAGAATACAGTAACACTGACCCTTGGAAAGTCAGCAGAGTGGTGTCTGGCCCTCATTGCATCCCTTGCTGGTCAGATCGGAGAGCCGAGCCTTCTTTCCATTAGTGGCCACAATGCCCGTTCGCTGGCGTTAGAAACAGAAAGCACTCAGCTGCTGAGCTGCCGCAGGTGCAGTGATAACGAGGAGCTGGCACTGCCGGTGACGAGGAGGAGCTGGCACTGCAGCTGGAACGCCAAGGCTGGCAGGCCCGGTGACTTGGTCGGTCCCAACTACTACCGGAAAGCTGGGTGAGCGTGCGGGTGTGAAGGAGGTGGACCCAGCGTTATTAACCCCAAGGTGTGGCCTCAGGTGAAGAGGGTGCACCTTCTGAATGCCACAGGTCAGTCCTCCCCACACCATTTCCAGGCAGAGCAGGGCTAGCGGCTTTCAAGGTCTGTCTTGATTATGTGAAAACCAGCCAGCTAGGCTGGCTTTGTGATACAAAAGAGAGGCAGTGCAGGCACCATTAACGAAGGACACCAGCAAGGCGAGGACACCCTGAGTTAGAAAAATACAGCGAAAGCGAAGATGCTGGTTCCCAGCCGAATCCCTCTCTTTTCTTCCCAAGCAAAGGGAGGTAGTTCCACCCTCAGGGCAGTTCCCGCTGCTTGTGGGGGTGCCAAGTCCGACTCAACTGGTTTGTCTTCCCCCTGGATAAGGGGCTGTCGTGTGATGTTCACCCATCTCACTTCACCTGTTCAGTGGATTTTCTCACCAGAACAGACTTTTTCTTAGCAGCCCCATGGCTTACGGCTCAGTCCGCTGCCCTTGAGGTTCTGGCCAAAAAAGCCACTCCTCCCTCTTCTTCCAATTCTGACACGGATTCTGAGGTAAGAGCGCTGGATCGCTGCACTTTGGAAGAAGCAGGCGAGGCGTCAGGCACTGTGAGTGACTGGCAGCAAAGCAGGAAAATCCACCCCGAAGGCAGGGTTTGCTCCTTTCGCTTGGTAGGGAGAAGAGAGGCTCCGTCTGGAACCAGATTCTTCAAGCCGCCTTTCTCAAATGGCCAGTACTCTGACTTCACCTGCTTCTTCTCTCCTCGACTTCTGCAATACGCTTCATTTGCACTTTAAAACCAGCCTGGCTCATCAGCATCAAGGTAAGAAAGCCTTCTAGTGAGAAAGGCATTGTCCAGGTCTGCCGGGAAGGAAGTAGCTCTGAAGGAGTGTCCCCTTCCCTGTGTGCCTGCCTGCCCCTCAAGAGCTGGGCCGGAGGTCCTTCTTCGGGAGCCCTCTCTGGAAGAGATCAGGAGAGTGGCTGCCCGGAGAAGGGCCTTCTCTGCGGGGGCACCCTGGCTGGGTGTGCCTGGCACCGTCACTTTCTTTTCAGCGCCAGGCCAAGCCCTTTTTGTTTTCCCATTATTTTAAGACTTAATTTTTATTTCAGTCGGGCTTTTATCTTAGATATTATGCTGTGCCTTTGTTGTTGGACCATCCTGAGACTTTTATGTACAGGGTGGGGCACAAACGTTATAAACAAACAAACAAACAAACAAACAAGGGGGGAATGGCCACAGCCACCTGTTCTGGGGCCTGGTGTGGGCCCCCTTCCACCAGCAGCCACGACAGGAAGACAAGACGGAGGGGCTGGGAAGTCTCCCTCGCCCGGCACTTGAGAGGAAGGGGAGGTGAGGAGGCCTCTGCCATCCGATCATCAGTCCAGTGCTGCCAGATACGGCAACGTGTTGCTGCTCTCAGACCGAAGCTCAGCACCGCTCCTGCCACCGGCAGGGTTCGTTCTCTCCTTTGACGGCGGTAAGAGGAGTGCATCCTGAACACCCCATCAGGCCATGTCCAACGACAGTGGCTCAGCCCCAAGGGCAGGGCTGCCCTCTTCCCCAGCAGCTCCAGCCGTGCTCCGAAGGCACTTCTCCTTCCCTGGGAAGGTGATCGGTGAATCAGCCCCAAGTGCCATTTCAGATGAGCTATTTTCCAGGCGGGCATGCGTGCTGAGTCAGATGTGAATCGCAAATGCAGCTTTTTGTGGCACTGTGCCTTATCAAATAAGCCTCAGATGTGCCACACACATGTGCAGAGAAAAGCGTCTGAAAACAGAATGGGCCCCAAAGCCACAGAAAGGCAGGGACTCGCGGCAGAGAGCATAGAAACAAAACTTGACTCCATCAGGGCAGTGGAGCCAAAGGTCAGCAGGGATGGGGAAGAATTGCATTCAGCTCATTTTTAAATACATATATATCTAGATAGGTAGATGAAATACATCATATTTTAAACATACATGGCTTACCAAAATTTGCAATTCATTCATGCATAGGATGGAAAGAACTTGAGATTTAAAATGTGGGAGAAACTGGAACATTACCCAAGCCCCAGGATTTGAGTATTTATTTTTTTTAAAGGTTAGGTTTGAATTCCTATGTATTCAATCATTTTATGGTGCCAAATTAGAGTCACCACCTCTTTTTTTCTCCTGACAGGTTTTTCATCTTTAACCGCTACATGGCAGGTACAACACACTCCTTCCTTTTATGCCTTCTATACCTACTCAATTTGGCCAGTGCAGAAGGCCAAAAAAAAAAGGTTTCCTTCAATTTTTTGTAAGAATTTGTCAACTGCCACAAATGTCTTCATAAAGAATGTGAAATCTTATAAATTCAGACATGGGAAAACACAAGAATGACAGATTCGGTCATTCCTGCTCTTTGGCCATTGTTGCTGCTCACTAGAAAATTAAATATGTGAATTTTTACTTGTTCACTCCAAGCTTACTTGTTCTCTCCTTTCTCTTCCTCAATTTCTTTTGCTTTATGCTTATTAAAAGCATAAGCCTCCAGGAAGGAACAAGCTTGCCCTCTAATACCTGGTCAACATTTAGTTAATTGCAGATGCATTATATGATGAAGATGATGATGATGATGATAATTCAGTCAGAAATCCTGTCCTCCCATCCTTCAATGAACTCAGGGCAACTTTGGGTACATGCATGTGCAGTAACTTCATTTTATCCACAACAGTCTTGCAAAGCAGGCTATACTAAGAGACCACATGCAACAACCTCAGAGTTAGCTTTGTGAGAAATTGATTGAGTTCAAGCCCACCACTACATGCTGGGGCACTCTTAATGTTAATACACATACAAAATTAGACCAATACTTACCTTTTCTATCTTGATGCAAGAATTAATAGTGTCAAGGAAATCAGCTTTTTTTTCATTGGTAGGCACTTCTGTTAGTTCCTTTCCTATTAATTCACCTTTCTGATAGCCCATCATGGCCTCAAACGCAGGATTTACATACTGTGAAATTTAAAAAAAGGTACTCCAGTAAACTAAGGAAAACCTAGAAAAGTTAGGCACATGCATCTAATTCAAATCTTGCTGTGAAACTCATAGAAATATTTCCTCCTGTACTACTCCTAAAATTATTGCTTTAAAATTTTACCCCTACTCCAAATACACAATGAACTGCATAAGGAAATTCAATAGATCTGTGAAAATATTGAGCCAACCTCCTCCAAAAAGATGTGAAATTCAGACATCCCTGATGGAAGCCTGCTCAGAAGCCAACTGTTTCCAGTGAATCACAGAATCAGTGCTGGACGGGGCCTGGAAGGGTTAGGGTTAGGGCAAGTTAACGCACAATTGCATCTGCCAGAGGCAGATTTATTGTCCTACTGCCCACTGGAAGTGCAGGGCATGGAAAAGAAGGGCATCCCGAACACCCCTCCATTTGTGTCCAGCTACAGCGGCTCATCCTCAAGGAGAGGCCTGCCCCTTCCCTAGCATGCTCAGCCATGCCGTGCAGTTGTGAATTGCCCAGAGAGCTCTGGCTGTTGGGTGATGCGGAAATCGACCCACCTGCCTAACACATCCCTGACACATGGCTGCCCAACTGCCTCTTGAGCGCCTCTAGTGCAGGAGAGCCCACAACCTCCTTAAGTCATTGGTTCCATTGCGGTACTGCTCTAGCAGCCAGGAAATCTTCCCCAGTGCCTAACTGGAATCTGGCTTCCTGCAACGTGAGCCCATTATTCCGTGCCCTGCATTCCCAGATGATTAAGAAGAGATCCTGGCCTTTCAAGTATTTGTAGAGTGTTATCATACCATCCCTCAGTCTTTTCTTAAGGTTAAACACACTCAGTTCTTTCTAGCTCTCCCTTGTTTCCAGTCCTCTGACCATCTTTTTGCCCTCCTCTAAACTGTTTCCAGTTTGTCTGCATTTTTCTTGAAGTGTGGTGCCCAGAACTAGACAAGGAACAAGACAAGTTAGATGGGGTCTAACTAGTGCTGAATAGAGGAGAACCAGTAGCTCATGTGACTTGGAAGCTATATTCTCATCTGTTATATTGTATTTTATCTGGTACGGCTGTTATACCTCCAGACTGAGCTTGCTGTGGGTAATTGTTGTTGTTTTGTTCAATGCATTATTTCTGTTTGATTTTATATATTATTGACTATTATACATTGTTGTTAGAATAATCTCAGAATAATAGATTGTTGTCTAGTGCAAACAGCCCAAAGTGTCTCTGTGGCTGATCCACAGTGTGTGTGTGTGTGTGTGTGTGTGTGTGTGTGTGTGTGTGTGTATTAAACATGAATGAATAAACATTGATTTTGTCTTTGTGACTTTGGGTTAAATACAAAAATACTTACTTTTTTATCTAAGCAAGTCGGTGAACATAAATTCTATATTCACTTATTTACATCCAAAATGCAAATTCTATGTCACTTCTATGCATGACAGGCTGGAGAGATCTAGGACTTTTAACACTTTTCAATCTACAGGCATAGAATTGCACCCTAAAATGAATTTTTTCTTCAGAAATACAGAGGAAAATATGTTCAGAAGCAGGAATAGATTCTGATTCAGAATTGCTTCAGTCTTTACCTAGTAGACACGGGCAAGCCCACACACATCATACAAAACTGAACCATAACCAAACTGCCCAAAGCCGGGGGCGTGGAACAGTGGATCTTGAGATGTTCTGACTTACAACTGCCATCAGCCCCAGCCTCCATGTCCAGTGACTAGGAAGGATGGGAACTGCATTCCACCAAAATCAGGAGGCCAACAGGTTCCTCACTCCCTCCAGAATGGATCGACAGTCAAATCACACTCAGACCAGAACAAACCTGTATCACATGATCTTCACTTGTAATCTCAACGGCTTCTTGACTTTTCTCTAGTGCTGCAAATATTGAATTACAAGCCCTGAAAATAAAAGGGGGAAATGGAGCGACTTACCAGGTATGAGTTGCACAATCTGCCATTTCTAGAACTATAAATAAACGGAACATGCGGGCCCGGCAACAAAAGTCTGGCTTGTGGGTCTTCCCCGCTCAGGATTCCAGCCCCCTCTTCCTTTGCCCCTTCCATCTCCAGTTCTCCACATCCAGCACCCCGTGACCATTCCCTGCCTCACTGAGCATGCTCAGTCTTCACTGGCGGCTTGAAAGGTTCTCCCCCAGTTGTTGCTTCTGAAACCCTCAGTTTGCTTGATGCCCGCTCTCCTGTGCACAGGTGCTGCTCTCTGGCCACATAAGCAACAGCCTTTGAAGAACTGAGATCACCATGAGTACTTTCAGCCTTCCCCAAACTGGTGCCCTTCAACTCCCACAGAATGGCCGACAGTCAGGGACCCTGGCAGCTGTCCTTCAAAACATGTGCAAGGCACCAATTTAGGGAAGGCATTGGAAGGAAGCTGTTAGCGCAGAAGATTCCACAGTGATTATTCTGTGACATTATTGGCCTCGTCCTATCTTTGGGCCCCTCCATTTGCTTGCAGCCTGTCATGCCATTGGCATGAAGGCTCCAAGAACTTCTCCAAAATGGACCTTAGCCAAGAGGCTGAGAGAGGCACCAGAGGATGCTCACAAAGGGCAGGGTGGATGGCCTCATCCCTGCAGAGCATCCCTGGCCGCCACGTGTAGGGACAGGGACACCCACCCTGTGAGGATGATCTATATTTTAATAGCAGAGGTGGGGAGGTGACAGAGAGGCTGGGCTGGTCTGTTCAGAGACCGTTGCTCAGGTCTACTAGCGAGCCTGTGGGCCCAGTTTTGCCTGCTCAGCAGATATGCAACTGGATCTTGTACACAGGGAATCTGCAAGGCCGCACATAACGTTCTCCAACTTGTGCCCCCTTTTTAATATGATTATTTCTTTTGCTTCATTTTTTATTTTATTCATTTATTTTATTTTTATTTGGAATACTTGTATGCCACTCCATTCACATAAGCCTCGGGGCGGTTTCCAACAAATAAACAACAATACAAAAATATAAAAATTGGACACATCCAGGCAATAAATAAAACCAATAAATAATTTAACAATTAATTAAAATAATGTTTAAATAAAAAGGGCCTGGTGCCGAAAAACAAATGACGACGGTGCCAGGCGGAGCTCTTTATTTAAAAATAAAGCATGTGGCAAATGTTAGGACAGTCTTCTTTCTCTCCTTTTCTAGTCTCAAGCCTCTCCCCTCTACTTCGCTGTTTCGCCTTCGCTCCCATCTGTTAGCTTCACTGTTTCTTTCCCCATCTTCTTACTTTCCTGTTTCTCCCCCTGTACCAGCCTCTAGCCTTGGCCTTCCCCTACCACCTACCCCAATTCCTTTTCATTTCTCCCCCCACCCAGCCACTAGCCTCACTATTCATTGCTCCCCCCGCCACACGCCCCTTGATCTCTTTAGTAAAGCCCCCACAGCAGCCGTAATGCAAGTAGCCACACCCCTCTTGGGAGCCATTTTGTGGTGGTACCCACAGCAGTTTCCCAGACTCGCAAATTTGCTCACTGCCCCCAAGAGTTTGGAGACTCCTGGTCTACAACGTAAAGAACATGGCAATCAATACTTGGTGAGGGGCACTTGCTTCTCGCAAGAGTTGCAGAAGAGGCTGCAGCCCCTTTTGTCCGTTGCTAATATGGTTGCCAGAATTACAAGGATCGGGGAGTCTGGGCCTCCACTGTGCTACATCATGGCTGGGAAACCTCCTTCAGCCTGAGGGCAGAGATCCGTTTCAGAGAAACCCTCTGGACCATATTCCAGGGGTGCGCAAGGCTGATGGCAAAAGTGGGTCCAAGATCAAAGGGAATACCAAGCTATGGGAATTTACTGCCCTTCCCCAGGTCATAGGGGGATTTCGGCTATACTGAATGGGAGCCACAGTGGTACAAAATCTGGGAGACCACTCAAGGTTCAGTGGTTGAGAAAAGCAGGTTCTGAAATGCTATCGCTGCAGGCAGTTCCATTTCAAGTCTTGCATTTAATGTGGTCGGTTTCTAGAGATGGAATGCCTTCCTCCAAGGCCTGCCAGCCACTCTATTGATATTTCAAGCGCCCGGTAAAACCAGGTATCTATGAATGGTTAGTTGCAGCTATCAATCTCACCACGGACTATTTGCAGTATTTTATTGCAGTTTTATTGTTCAACTTTTAACAGCTGTTACCTGCTCTGGGATTTTTAAGAAGGGAAGAAAATGAATAGAATAAAATGAATAAATGAATGTAAAAACTGACCACCTAACACTTCCACACATTCTTTGAAGACAGTGTTTCAAACAATCCCCTCTAGAAGTTACCATTCCTTCCTGTGTTGATAACGATTGGCATTTTAATGCTGGTTATATTCTGGGTAAGTATAATTACCTTAATTTAAATTGTGCCTGCACTTCTCCAAACTCCAGCTGGATTAATTCATTGTAGCAAGCCATGATGTTGGAATTTTCAACGTATCTCTGTTAAAAGAAAAGGCAGAATGTCTCTGTTATTTGATCACCTATGAATACAGCTACCCATCTAACCCGTACACTGCCAGGCCACTGGCCTCCCTAGTCCAGCGCTGTCGACACAAACTGGCTGCAACTCTCCAGCGTTTCAGGCAGGCGCTTTCCAGCCCTACTCAGAGATGCTGGAGACTGAATCTTCTGTGTACCAACTGGGCACTTTAAACAACAAATTACCTTCCCTCCCTCTCTCCTTGCCCATCTACCTACCTTTTATACTTTTAAGCCACCCTTTAACTGGGTGATTTAGAAGTAATTTATTTTTTGTAAAGCTATGAAATCACATAAATGTACTATTAAAAGAGCATAAAGCAAAACAGCTCAAAATGGAAGTGCGACTTAAATATATATATTTTTAAGAATCCTATGAGGAATGGCATTCTCCCCACGATCCATCCCAGATATCATTTTAACTAGGAACAGTTACATGACAAAGACAGGTAGGCGACTCGCTGATCATAGTGTGGAATGCCAACTGAGACACGTCCTTTTAGTATGCAGGCACACACCCAGACGCAACAGCCAATGCTCCTACTACAGATAGTCAAGTTTCTTTCACCCTGTATTTCAGGCAGTCCCCCATGATTCACGCTTCCTGGGCTAATATGCAGATTGCAATTCATTCCTCCTTTGATTTCTACTTTTCTGTAATTTTTGTCCAGTTGGCCCCAAAAATATACCATAATACATATGAAAATGCACTGTTTAGGTTAAAATGCATATAAATGTATGTTAGAATCCAGATGTAGGAGGAGTTGGATATTATAGTAAGATGTGTTGAAAAATGTGAACGGTGTACCATCACGCCGTGTTTGGTAGTTCGTTTGTTAAGAATGTAAGAACAGCCATGCTAAATCAGATCGAAGGTCCATCTTGTCCAGCATTCTGTTCACACGGTGGCCAAGCTGCTGCCTCTGGGAATTTTACTAACAGGACATGGGAAACTATCCTCCTGCCCAAATTCCCCAGCACCTGGTACACACAAGTTCTGAACCTACCACTGATCAGCCTCATGGCATGGCCCCCACTGGGTTCTAGCATTACAAAAGAAGGGGAAAGAGACAACACGTAATTTTGTACACCTCTACCAACTTTTTCCCAACTGTTGGTACTAAACACTGGGACCCTGTTCTCATAGGGGAGTTCCTCAGACCCTTTTAAAAAGAAATTGCATGTTGACGTGGAAAAAGGATGGAATTGACTGATGAATGAAACTGACACAGCTCTGATAAAGTTGGGTCTGTCATCTAGATGTGATTCTCAACATTCACTGCACGTCCAAATAGCAGTAAAACATATATCTGTTTTCAGACACGTGCAAAACCAATCCATGTTTGTCAGCATTCACATGTGAACGGTGGCATTCATGGAATATATTTCAGGTTCTGAGTTGGATTGGACCAAGATCAGTAAATACCACCTACCCTTGTGAAGCCAGCAGAAATGAAGGGTAGTACTGAAGATTCCTCACGATCTGCATGCCTTGAAAACAGAAGAGGAAGAATGGCAAGATGTCAGAAATTATTTTTCCCTGCTTGATTCTCCCAACATCTGCAGTCTGCATTGCTTAGCTGTGGAAGTGCTGTCGAAGGACACTTTCTAAACAGGGTGTCCGAGATACTCAGCATGGCTGTAAGCCAGCAGCAGTCGCACAAGCTTCCATGGGAATTGCATTTTTTTTAAATCTAAAAATGTATATCCTGCTTCCCGGCTGTATGCCCAATGTAGACCAAGTAACAATATTACAAATGTAGCCATAAATCCACGTACTACCCATGGTCCCTGTCTTCGGCCTTTAGGAGACCGACTTGCCAACCACTGACCAAGGGTGAGAAACCCTTTGGTCCTCAGCGCAAGAATGCCTGCGGAGGAGCGTTCTTTTGCAAAGAGGAGCTAAATTAGCTGTAGAAAGACCTGAAACAGCGTTTTGGACGAGAGCCTGTTCTCTGGTTCTGAATGGCACCAGCAAGGATTCCTTCCTTCTCCGCTCCCTTCCAACCCAGGAGCCATGCAGAGCTGGTTGGAAGGCGGAGTATGGGACGGGGGCAGAGCTGGCGGCCCCATTTCCAGCCACTCTCAGGTGCTGCTCAGTATCGCACTTCATACACAAAACTGTTTCCCTGTGCAGTTTCGTGGACTTCCATTCCCCAGCACTGCCTTGTTCTGGAAACTCAGAAGCAGCTGCTCAAGAACCTTCGCAGTTTTGATTTCCACACTCATCCTGAGAGTACATATAATTCCTCCCAAATACCTGCCACTTTATTCCAACCCCCAGTAGATTGTGTCTGTTTCCTGTATTTTCAGAGACTAGTAAGACTAGTAATGATGGGACGGGAGAAGGCAGAAGGGAATTTTAAATCCCTCAGCTATATGGTACCTGAGCTGCTTCCTCCCACCTTCCATTGCTCCAGACTTTCTCTACCTCTCCTTGCAACTGGCTTCTCCCTGTAACTCTTCCTTTCCATGCCAGAAAGAAAAAAAGCCTACTTAAGGTAACAGCTAAAGAAAATAAAACTACACTGTTTAAAAGACTGAGTTGTGAAAAGGAGGTGTTGCAGGGAAGGAAGGACAAGCCAGTGCAGATTTCTTGGAGAGAGAGGGAAAGATCGTACAGTCAAGGAACGATGTGTAATTATCCAAAAGAAATGTGCAAAGGATACATGCAGGCCTGCAGAGTGATGCTACCTCTGCTATTAGCCCTTCTCCTGAATTCTCTGGGAGACAGCAGCTGCCACTGGCTAGGCTAGAAGGGAAAGACATTCTGCATGTGCTCAGAGGCACAGCATTGCTGGACACTCTTCGACACCTTACAGGCAGGAGGAGAAAAGTGAGGGAAAGGGTTTGGTACCCACCCCAGCCCAGAATATTTCTCCTGTTGACTCCCCACTCCCACTGCCCATTATGCTGCCCTTCTGGGGCTCCACAGTCACACATACATCACAGGATGAGGCATTTTAACACCATTTCCAGAATAATCCCGCTTTTGCATTATTTGCCTATCAAAGACAAACTCATACCTCAAAAACTGAAGTTCAGGGCCTACCAAGCCCACAAATGTCAGGAAAAATAATACAGAACAAGTCATTATTTCTGGGTGATCAAGTACTTTGTATCCACATATTATTTTACAAAGAATATGATGTTATTTCTTATTTACCTCCTCACGACACCGATAATAACAGTGTTTTCTGACAGCTTTGTTGTTCTAATGGACCTTTAGGAAAAATCAACATAAGTTAATAAGTTCTTTTTTATTTTGCATTATTAATAGATCTGTTCATCTATTATTTTAGTAGTTATTTTTATTAGTTATCAATTTTCTAAGCTGCCTTTCAAGACTGAAATCCCTTTCAAGGCAGTGAGGTATTCTGTAATACATATTGAAATACATGTGCCAGTTTTGATTTAGTTTGCATTCACAGATATTTAAATAAAAAATAAAGACTAACTGGTGAGCAGAACAGCCACAGCAGTTTATGAAACGTGGGGGAATTTATCGGCTTGTTTTGACCAAGAACTGGAGGCAGCTTCCCCCAAAGCAGAGTCTCACTGCCTCACTGGTCCCCCGCTCCACAGTACGGAACCAACAGGGCCCAGGTGCTCCCTCACAGCACTGGAGCTGCAGTGCTAGAAGGTGGGATCCTTGCCTCCTTGCAGCTCGACACATTTGCAAAATCCAGCCAACTGCTTTAGCTCGGCACTTGCTGGATGCAAGCAGAGAGTCAAAGCAATCTTCTGCCTCACCCTCTCCAAAGAGGAGGGAAACAGAAAAGACTTGTCTCCGTGCTTGCAGGAATTACCCATCAGCAAGGATACTGTGATTGTCACTATCGGGAATTTCTGCAAATACATCAGGAAATTCTGCAAAAGGATTTAATGTGCTTTTGACCTTCCTGTTTATCATTCTGTCACACCACCACCTGCTGCAGCCGACCCCATGTGCATTGTCTATAAATGTAACTCTCTTTACAGCGGTGATGGTGAGGTTTGTACCATGCCACAGGTCAAAATTCTGTGCTGTAGAACCGAGAGGGCCTCCAAGCAATACCTGGAAGGCAAGCAGGAGTGTTTCACCAGCCACCACTTCAAAATGGAGCTTTCTCCCAGTGTGGGAAAGTGGCAGCAAGCCATGCCCATCTCAGCCTTCCTTTTGGAGATGCACAGCCAAAGGGGCTGGCAACCACAGGCATCTGTTTTGCCCAGGACCAGGACAGTCCACTCAGTTTCACTGCTGGGCTCCATCTTCTCAGTCCTTCCACAGTCGCACAGTGAATTCATTTTGGCTACTCAAATTTGAGTTGATTGACAAACAAGCGACCTATTGGGCAGTGCCAACCTTTATAGGTTTACCATGTGACATGCAGAGACACAAAAACTCTCTGCTTGTAATAAATCATCAGATAAACCAAAAAAAAAAAAAAAACCCCTTGATGACACCTGAAAAATTAAAAAACAAAGGCACTGCAGCGTCCATGGGATGACAAAGAACACTAAGGTTCACTGAGAAAAGATCAAAGTTTTGCCCTGCTCCCCATGGTGGTGGTGCTGTTGTTGGTGTTGTTATCATTATTATTGTTGTTTCTATACCAGCCAACAGCCAAAGCTGTCTGGGAAGTTTGCAACCATTCGACAGCAATGTAAAAGACCATAAAAATGGCAAAATTCAATCATTTACAATTTTGAATTCAATTTTAAAACAGCTAGGACAATATAGGAAACAGGGCAGGCCTGAACAGCTGGAAGGGGCACTTCCCTCAAGCCATGAAATATCCCGGGATATCTCAATGCCTCAGAAGAAAGAGCCACCTGAATCTAGTACTGAAAGGATGACCAGGCTGAATCCAGCAGGGAGGTCACTGCACCGCCGAGGGGCTGCCCCGAGAAAGACATCCACGCCAACCTCCCAGACCTTGGCAAATCTAGAGAAATCATACGCTCAGACCACTAAAGCCTTCGAAAAAGAATCAGCCCTCTTTCTTCCTTCATGTCCTGAATCCTTATTTCGGGTTAAGCAGGAACATCGAAAGTTGCACAAAACCTTTGTCCATCTATCCTAGCACTGTCAACACAGACTGGCAGCAGCATTCTAGGTGGGGTTCAGGCAGGAGTTTTCCTGCCCTACCTGGTGATGTCTGGAACCAGATCTGGGATCCTCCCCATGCAAGCCATGTGCTCTTCCCTTCCATAGCTTCCTGCAGGGGACAGCTTTTCCTCTTGGTATCAAAAACTCAGCATCCCTGAAGCTTTGAAATCATGAAACGTTTCACCCAAATGGAAAAGCCCTTGCAGATCTGTAAGTTTCTGTGCAAAAGTGCTAGGCAGCCCCAGCCTTAGCACTGAGTCTGTCCCTGAAGGTTCTGTGGCCCACACAGCGAGTGGCTGCGCCTGCAAGACACCTGCCATTCCAGAAAAGCCCACAATGCTCTGGAGCGCCCAAGAGGGCCTAGCACCTCACCTGCACAGTGCTTCTGCATCAAAGTGTCTCGAATGCCTGTGATCAATTATGATGATTTCGTGGTGCTTATCCAGAAAGCATTCGAGAGCAGATTCGGGGGTCCTGGCAATGTTACACCGAAATCCGGCTTTTTCACAGGCCCAGCAAAAGCCATTACTCTGGTTGTCTTCTTTGGCAAACACTAAAAGTACCTAGCTCAAAGAAAACAACACACACACAAATGGGAAAACATTTAATTTAAAATGCACACAAAATTATATCTGCATATATCAAACTGAGCAATAGGAGGGTATAAAGACACCTGTGCTTCTCGGATATGCTCAATATTTCACTTTACTGCTTTCCCACAGGCGCTAAAGCCCCAGAGTTGGTAAGATATGCAGACTATGGTGAAACAGGATTTCCCAGTTACAGTGCAGAAACAGCAGAGACAAAACAAGTTGTGAAGTGTACTGATGAAGAAGGATGGGGTTAAAATGTATTTATTTCTTATGCTTATAGTGTGCATAGTAACAATAGAGTTCTCTAGTCAGCAAACAGGTAAATTAAAAAAACATACAATGGAAAACAATCGATGATGATAGTGACAGTACATCATGAAACCAACATCCAAGGTTAAAAACAGTGCAGCAAAACAAGAAAAGGAAAAATGCACAAAGACCAAGAAGTGCCCAAAATAATTCTTAAAGTGCTTATGAGATTTAAAAGGGCTTCACCTGCCGCCCAAAAGACCACAATGCAGGCACCAGACCGGCCTCTCTGGAAGCCAACTCACAGACGGGCACCACCACTAAAAAGGTCTCTTCCTGCCACCACCCACCTTGTTCCCTTTGGCATCAGCAACTATTGTAAGTTATTTATTAGGGGAAAATAAGGGAAGAAAATGTACTGTTTTGATTAGCTAGGACAATAAAGAAGAATATAAAAGCATTGGGGTTCTCTCTTGAGATGGCACACTGGGGTTGGAGGAGGTTAGAATTTCAGGTGAGGCCGCTGGGGTTTAGGAGGAAGGAAGAAGCCCCGGGACAGTCTTATTTGGATGCCGTAGGGCTCAGTCCTGTGGACTGCACCCTTTCTGCCTGGAGCCTGCTGAGATGCTGAGGTTTCTGAGATCCCCGTGCCCTGCCAGGATGAAGCCATCAGAGCAGGAGGGTGGACAAAGGCCATTTTTGCCTCCTCATTGTGGGATCGCCAATATTGTCCCTTTTGGGATGAGTGGGAAGGAGGCCAAAGCAGGATCAGGATAAATCCCATTTGGGCTTCTCTAGTCTCCTCCCCCCACCAAAACACCCCACTTTCCTTCTCTCCAGGACCAGTTTTCTGTCTTGGATGCGTATCCAGTGTGGTTTGCTCCAAGTTGGCTGCAAGGGGTCAGTGCTGGGCATCAGATCTCCAACACCCTCTTTGAGGCTGGACTGCAATCTCTGACCTCAGAAGGGCTGTTCTGATCCATCCTGTTTTCCCTGGGAAACTTGCCCATAGGATTGCTCTCTCGATCTCCACTGATACCTTAATTGCAGCAGGATTCAGGCTTGTGGGACTGACTCTGATTTTCCCTAAAACACCAAGATTCACCTGCCAAAGCCTGGTGCAAAAGACACACACTGAGAATCCAGTAAAACAGAAGTTGCTGTTGTTGTTTTTAGCATGAGAACTGAGAACTAAAGGAGTTCATAGTTCTTATACACAAAAATCCACTCCTGGATACCCAAAGAGTAAAATTTCAGCAGCAAAATTTAGAGATAGGGTTTAGAGTGAGTGTGTTGTGTGTGTGTGACGGGGGGGGGGGGGCATTTTGCTGTCACTGTTCTTAAATCCCTGGGTGGCAGAAATCTTTGCAAATCTACTGTGAAACAACCCGAGATCTCCCAGATCTACCCTGAATGAGTGTCCACCAGCATTTTGTTATCATTACCCACTTGGTCTGATTGACTTTGCACTACACAGTGAGATAAAGTTGTTATCAAGGAAAAAATAAATAGATGGTTGCTTATCTGGTGCCATTTGAACAAGTTTAATTCCCACAGAGCTGTTCTCAAGGTTAACAGTTCACACAGCAGTAACCATGCTCCCTTTGCAGGCTGGAAGGTCCAGAGCAGAGGGAAGTGTTTCCTCAAGGGGTGACAGCTGGCAGGGAACTGCAGGGACGGGCTCCTCCCCCCCCCCCCGCAGAAGCTGAGGGGGCCCTCCAGGCAACTGTGGGGAGGTGACCCTCTGCAAGGCAAGGGGCACAGGGGTGAAGCAGACAGTGTGGTTCTCCTTCCCATACAGGGCTGATGTGATGGAAACGGCCTATGTGGTGCCCTCACCCTTTTTGTATCGCTTGCGTGTACACCCATGTGGGATGAGATGGCACCACAGAGAACCAGTTGCCGTGCCACTGGGTGCACACACAAAAGAGCACGTGCCGCGCATATGGAAGGTCCCAGATTCAATCCCGGGCACTGCCAGTTCTGAGGCGGAGGCAGCCATACCGTATGTGCTCTTCTGCGACTGTGCGCCACGCTCTGTCCCTCCACGGGCATCCGTGCTCTGCATGGCCAAGGCAGCGAAGGCAGGGGCTGCGGCGCCACCCGCCCATCCGCCACGCAAAGGGCTTCAGTCCCGGCCAGGCACTCCTCGCTGCTGCGCAGGCTGCCCCCGCAGCACCCGCGGGGAAGGCAGCGGAGGGGCTCTCTGAGGGCCCCAGGCCTGGCGAGGGCTCCTCCCTCAGGGCAAGGCACTGGGTGAGGGGGCCAGGGAGACTGCTGGCGGTGCTGTTGACGCCCTGCTGCGACCGTTCCTTCCTCCGTGTTTGCCACTGGTGGTGGACATGGAAGCTCCCACGGCCGCCCTGCCCAAAGGGCCTCACCTTCAGGAAGGGGCAGTGGGCGAGTTTGCCTGCCCTGCCCTGCCCACGCCAATGCGCAGCTGACAAATACAAAGGTGGGGAGGGGAAGGGGGGCGCCTTGCAACATCTTGAAACTGACCCTGTCTCTGCCAGACCCTTGGAGAGCAGCTGCCCGTCAGAGGAAATCATCCTGGACTGGCTAAATGTATAACCTCTTCAAGGATAACCTGCTGAGATCCCGAAACCTGACGGCCTGGCAGTCAGGACGTGCCCCTGCACTTGCTCTCCGCTCTTTTCTCTATAAAATGTCAGTACCGTGACTCTGTATTTTCCCTCCTCTCAACACCCAACTTTAGTTCATACTTCTAAGCAATTCCAGACATTCCAGCACCACATACTCTTTGGATTAAGTTTGCAGGAATGCCTGCCAATAAATCTTACACCTAGTGCGTATCTGTATATGAGGAAGAGAGAGAGAGACTGACTGACTGACTGACTGACTGACTGACTGACTGACTGACTGACTTGGGATTTATTTAATGCATAGCTCCCACTGAAGACAAAACTCTGTTAAAGAAAGACTCACCCAGACTTGTCTTGTATTTGCAGCTATATTAATGGGACCAATTTACAGCAAATTCAAGCATCAGAAACATGATTGCTGCTTTGCAATCTTCTGAATCAAGGAGCAGGACAGAAGACCAAATGTGTTTGTCCATTTACAATATTTATACCCTGCTCATGGTTATCAAATCACAAGGCAGCATGCAACATGTATTAAAGCAGAAATTAGAATAAAGTGGAAGATAAAGGCAGTAGCAACAGCAATCTACTGGTCTAGATATTAGAATAAGCAAATGTCTGAATGTACAGGTAAGGTTTTAATAGGTTCTGAAACACCATATTGCTCTGCAGTGGGGAGAGACTTCCAAAGGAAGTCACCACAGAAAAGCCCCTCTCCCTGGTTGCTGTCAGGCATACCTGTGCAGGTGATAGGCCAACAAGGAAGGTCTGATCTGCAGATCTCAGTTAGTATGGGAGAGATGCCCTCTGGGCCTCAGATTTGGCAGCCAAGAAGTGAATGTGGAAACTGTCAGGCTACTTCAGGGGAAAGTGCAGGCCAAAACTGAATGCCAAACAGGATTCTTTCTCTGAAATGCTCTTCCTTTTTGTGCCCAAAGTCACTTCTAGCATCTGATACATTATTCCCAAGCCTTTGGACTTTCTGATGAAAACAGTCCCTCTCCTTAACTCTGTTGTGTTGGGGGAAACATGTTTGGAGATTTGGGAGGGATGTGTGAAGCTAAAGCTTTTCTGGAGCTGAAAACTGTGTCATGGCAAGCAATTCTTTCAAGGTGTCTGACACCATGTCAGGTGATGTGAGAAGAGGACAAGGCATAAGCATCTGCCCAACAGAATTCCCTCTGATCCAAATGTTCATTCAGACCACTTTGCCTCGGCTCCACACCCCACTGCACCCCACCCCACAATCTGCACCTAGCTTGCTTGGCAGACTTGATAGAAGATCCCAGCCCAAACAGGAAGGCTTTCATAGCACTTCCTGTCTAGGAAAGCCCAATGGACAGGTTGGGCAGGGCTAAGCCCAGAGCCCAAAAATACTTCATTGCTGTTCTGCCAGCTCACACATGAAGCAATGTTTCCTGGTTCAAACCCCAGCTACTGCTAACCAGAAAATCAAAATCTATGGTAGAAATGCAATTTCCCAGAAATTCATTTTCAAAACGGATTCCATGCTGGAAACTCCAAGGTCTCAGCTCTGGGAACCCAACTGCAGGCATATGTGATTTTACTTCACAGACTGACTTATAAACAGTTGTATCCCAACTGGTACACCTAGGCAAATACAGACCGTATAGCTATGCACCCCAGTCGCTGGAGCAAAGGGGTGGGAAGCTGGGGCATAAGCATCCGTGTCCCCTTTGCTGGGTCCTGTTATTGGCTGGCCACTGTGTGGTTCCTTAGTCTGATCCAGCATGGCTCTTCTTATGTTCTCATGTTCCTTCTCCATGTATTTCAGAATTTCATAGCTGTGGAGGACTTGAACTTGGGACTCCCTGAATTTAGTGGAGCATACTAACCACTAGGCAACCTTGACTCCCTCTCAGGATTGCTTTAAGGCTTTCTCAGGATTGCTTTAAGGCTTACTCCAGTGCCTGCTGGCATTAGAGCGTTGCATTACATTTTTGTCTTTATGATACACTGTGATGAGCATCAAATAGCAGGGAAGGCGCCCACAGGTGGCACAAGATCCACACACATGCTGCATTTGCCTGATTTATTTGTATTAATGAATAGCAGAAGAAAAGGAAAAGGCAGTTTTGTTTTGACAAGTCCAAAACGTGGAGTTGGCATCGTGGCTTACCTGAAGTTGATCTTGATGGAGTCTCATAGGGCCGAAGGGCACGTCTGTTCCCACTGCCTAGGAACAGAAACAGGACAATGTCAGGTGTTTCTATGCTGCATCTGCAGGTAGGCAAATGACCACCAGTTCCTGGCAAGAAAAAGGGGAGCCTGGTTTGCCCCATACTTTCAATAGATGGCAAGCTCCATGTGTCAGACTCTCTGGAGGCTGCCTGTAGAAATCTGCAATCAGCTCAGCACTGACAAGGCTACTCATTAGCCAATGGATTTCCATTTTCCATTCCGTCCTGAAAGCAGGACAGGTACTAATCACCTAAACTTGCCAGGCCAGTAACTGCATCTTCAGCAGCGCCCACTGCCTTCCGGATATTAGCATTTTTTTTTAAATGCCCCAACGACATCTATGGATGTAGAAATTTGTTAAATTCTTAGTTAAATACAAATTGAACACTTTCAAATCAATGTGCAAACCAAAATCCAGTGAGCCTTCAAACTTCACCGTTCTCCAAATTTTGGAACATAGCTCTCTGATGGAAAATGTACATATTAGGAGAAAGAACACACAAAAATGTGCACATCGCATTGGGGAAATTGCTCACACAAATCGGCGTGGCCTGGTACTGAGAGTGCTGGATTAGGGACTGGGGAGATCCGGACTCTTGCCCCACTCTCAGGGCATGGAGCTCGCAGGGCAACTCTGGGCCAGTCACGCACTCTCAGCATCACAGGGTTGCTGCTGTGAGGATAAAAATGGAGTAGAAAACTGCTTTGGGTTTCTTGCAAGGGGAAGAAAGGTGAGGTTGAAATGCACTACTGTAAAAAAATGCATATAAAAACGCATGCACAAATTTTCGAGGGGACAGTAGAAAAAGAAAAATCTTACCATTTGAAATGGATCATAGTTACATATGGAAGTGTTATCCAAGTTTGGGGTGTAATAGAAACATCCAGCACCCTTGCAAGCTTTATTTGAGCAAGTGTCCATGGAAAGCAAGAGACGTGTCCCAGAGTTTGGGGGTTCCAGATGAAAGATTTGGGACTTTGCCCTAGTGGACCTCTCCTTAACACCACCTCTGAAAACACACCAGCATTTTGTAGTTCGAAGCTCTGAGAGCCAACAAATATAGTCTTAGGAGAGGCATTTTGACTTTTTTTGATGGGGGGGAGGGGGGACTACACAGCAAGCAGGACTCATCAAATGGTGGCAGGTTAGAGAGAATGAGGGGGCATCCGAGGAAGGGACCATCCGGGGTGCAGTCTCGGGAGAGAGGAATTTGGCATCAGACCAGAGGTTTCCCAAGACTGCTCTGGTCCAGCTCATCCAAATTGAGGGCAGCAGGTTGGGGAAATTGGAATTAGGGTCTTTCTATTATGCCATGTGCTGTGCCCACGAGGAATAAACTTTGGCATGGCTCAGCTAAGAAAAATCCCCTTTGCTCAATTTTGAAATAAAATTGTAGGAAAGTATTTTGATGCGCCAGTGAACAGAAGACTATAGTTGAACATACATTTGTAATGAAGAGATTCTGATGACTATGAAAGCAGCATTTTTACAATGTTATTCTTCACAATAAAACCACACTTTATGACCAGATTTAATCCTCTGCCGTCCAGAATGTCTTCCAGTGAATAATTTTAAAGAGCCAACAGCCTCTCCCACAGGCCACATAAAGGCCTTTGAAAATTACAGTTTTTCTACCAGCTCTAGTGCTTGGAGCTCAAGACTCCTCAAGACTCCTCAGATGCCCTTTCATTTATTACTCTGGAAATCACCCATTTAATTTTAAATTTAAACTAAATCTCAAAAAAATGAAAAAGAAAAAGAAACAGGATCAGGAGAGAGAGTCAGTAAAAGTCAAGGAAAGAGTAGGAGATATCCAGAGCTGTGCAGGTTTACTGTGCATTTAAATTAATGGGCATATACACATTCTTTGCAAATCCACAACCTTTTTCCTTTCTCTTTCTGGAGATGTACAAACAGCCACCCTACAAGCTGCCTAGGTAACTCTGTAAGAAATTTTACTCTCAGGAGTTTTCTAGTTGCTACAGTTACAATCACATCAGCTGTCTGACACCTTCCAAGTATTGTGACTTGAAGTGTTTTTCCTTGCATCTACTTATGCCATTATTCCCTGATTCACGGTGAGGTTCTCAGTGTAAGGCAGACCCCAAAACATTCCCCAAGGACACATTCCGTTCATGCAGAAACATGGCATTTGTTGACTTTACGAAACTGAAAGGTATCTTTTGTCAAGGCTGCCTGGCATGAGGGTGCCAAGTTAGTTAATAAAGTTGTGTGCGCAACTTGGAGAGAAGACAACAGAAGACATGCCCCGACCTCAGTGACATCGGTTTTGCAATTCTAAAAAAGACTAGAAAATGGAACAGCTCGGTTATTGAATCAGCCAAGTCAGCAAAAAGGCAGAGAAAGCGTGGATTGCATAAGCGAGGCTTACGCATGCATCTCAGTTACCAGAACAATCGCTGTGCACGCCGGTTAAGGCAAAAATAACAAGGGCTCTCATGGCACATTAAAGGCTAACACATTCACTGACACAAGCTTTTATGCACGCTGCCCGTTCTGCCGAAATCCTGGTTCTGCACGGCCATGTTCCCAATCCCAAGGGAGTCTCCAAGCATTTTATTTGTGTGGCCTGCTATGCGCAGAAGGACCTCGCCAAGTAGTCTATGCGACTATGTTTTGTTCCTACGGCGCAGGCCAAGCCTGGCAGGCAAGCCTTACTTCAGCCACGACGGCAGTTGTCTGGATGGGGCAGAGGGCAGGGGAGACCAGGCCATACGGCACACACAGAACTGCCCTCCAGCAGAGGGAAATGGCTGGGGGGGTCCAGGAGGAACGGCTAAGGGCTCCCCCCCCCCCCGCCGCCCCAGCACCTGCCACCTAAGACAGCTACCTTTCTCCGATTGAGGTGCCAAATAGCCAGACTCAATCCAAGCAAGGCAGGGGTTCCCCTGGTGGGTGGCTCATCCGTCCAGTCAGGAGCGCTCAGCCTGCCCTGACTGGGGCTGCCTCTCTTGGAAGGAGCAAGTCTGGAATCTCGGGTGCTCACAGATCCAGCTCAGGTCCCCTTCTGGCTTCGGTGGCACAAAGCGCCTTTTCTCTGCTTCAGCTGAGATGCCAGCTATGAGGGCCACAGACCAATAGCCTGGCTGCCGGCTAGCCATGAAAACTCCTGCCCGGAGCATTGCAGGGAGCAATATGCGAGGCCAGGCACTGCGCTCTGAACATATTACTCCAGGCGAGTCCCTTGCACAGGGTGTCGGTCAGTTTCCATGCTGGATGCAAAGTGTTGCTGCCTGATCTTTAAAACCCTAAATGGTTTAGGGCAGGGGTGCCCAACCTTTTGGTTTCTCTGGGCCACACTGGAAGAAGAAAAATGGTCTTGGGCCACACATTAAATACACAAACACTAACGAAAGCTGATGAGCAAAAAAAGATCTATACATAATTTTTGTGTTATTCCTTGTTTGCAGCGGTAGGTTGAAATATTAATAATATCAATAAATAATTAGTATATTTATTAATAATAAAATGATAATATCTGCATTTCACTTGCCAGGTCACCACGAGCATTTGTAATGTCTGATGGTGTCAATTCGACTGTCTGTGCTTGGAAAATAACGCACTGGAAGCCACACATGTGTACAAATAGCATGCGTATGTTTATTTTACATGGCATTGCAACACAGTGTTGTTGTCTACAAAGTTCACATCTGAGAACTACACAATCAATTTACCCCAAAAATGCAAAATAATCTCATAATGTTGTAAGTGAGTTTATGATTTTGTGTTGGGCCGCATTCATGGCCATCCTGGGCCACATGCAGCCCATGCACAGTGGGTTGGGTACCCCTGGTTTAGAGACAATCCACCCAAAGAAGAACTTTTCCCACTATTTTTGAAAATTATACTATTATGCTGCCCAATAGCTAAAGCTCTCCAAATGGTTCAGAATATTTAAGATGATAAAATACAACACAATAAAATACTATTTAAAAGTTCAAAAAGACAGTATAAAGTAAAAACAAAAGCCCAAACCAAACCAATGGTTCTGCCCAACTGCTGATATCATCCTCAGAGACTCTTCCCTGGGTAATGTGACTATCAAGGAAAGAGCCTTCTTTGTGGTGGCCCCCGCATCTACCATCTTCAGTGCTTCGCTGTATATATTTAGAGGCCAGGTTAAGACCTTCTTCTTTAAGCAGGTATTAATTCTTTAATAATCCAGCAACAACATAATTTTACCCGAGTTATCAATGTCTAATATTTTAAATGCTGTTAATGTTTAACACTGTATTATTGGGACACTATTATTCTTCCTGTTTCGCTGCTGCTGCTTGATTTTATAATTGGTAAACTACACTGAGAGCATTTGCAAGTATTCATAGCAAACCACAAATGGAAGCTGGCCACCCCAGGTCTGATGTCTGCATTCAACAGTCTGATTTGTTTGTTCCTTACCAAGGCTGAGAGCACACGGCAGGGCATGCAGAGCCAAGAACCAGTGCAGGGTGACCTACCATCCAAGGAAGGTATTCCCTGCCATATGTCTCCACCAGGGCATTTTTGGTGGGATCTCCAGTTCATGCTGCCTCTGGTGGAGTAAGCAGCATCCGTGCAACGTGACCAGCAGCCTCCACTCAGCTCCCAAGTTATCTGCACTGGAGGCCATCATGGGATTTGGTAGGCGGAAATCCCACTGTTTACGTGCTGTGATCACTCGCTAACAAGTTAAAATGCACTTGCCCCAACTCACAACCCTCCGGGGACACACTTCTGGCATCCTTCCATTGGGAGCACCATCAAGTCATTCCGGCTCTTTGCTCCCAGCTCCATAACTAACTACCCATCCACGAGAGGGCCTCTCCACTTATCTCCGAAGGAAGTCTTGGGTGATGGGCCTTACCCAAAGCATTTTGACAGGGATCCCGAGGAGCCTGCATGGGTCACTTGCCCTAATAAATATACTAGCCTTTGAGGTCCCCAAAGAGTCTTTGGGGAAGGGTCCAGCAACGCACGCTACTGCTGCAACCCAC